AATTCTTTCCCATTATCACTTCTAAAAATCTGAATATTTGAATTAAATTGAGTTTTAACCATTTTTTCAAAACTAGTGAAAACAGAGTAAGCTTCAGATTTGTGTTTAAGAGGATAAATCCAAGTAAATTTACTAAAATCATCAACAAAGCAGATATAGAAACGAAAACCAGAGATAGATGGAACAGAGGTTGGTCCCCAAACATCAGAATGAATTAGTTGAAAAGGCGTTGTGGCCTTATGTTCAGAGAGTTCAAAGGATAAACGACAAGACTTAGACACATGACAGGACTCACAATGTAAGTGATCAGAAAATTTAAACCCTAAAGTAGACAAAATAGACTTGGCAACAGCAGGAGCCGGATGTCCAAGCCGGCGATGCCAGGTGGATGCAGTGACAGCTTGACGCACAACAGGGATAGGATTTTTGGAGGCGCAGCTTCATGACCATTGATCCAACCAAGAAGAAGGTTGGCCTCGAGAGCAGTTTTGACATTGAGAGACCATGCAGGATAATTTGAATCGGTGAGCTTCTCTGGATAAGATTATGGAGATTGCGGAGAAGAAGCTTGACGCCAGAAGGAAGCGAAGCAAGCGGATCTGAAGATTGAGCCATGGTTGCCGTTTATGGTCGACCGGCGAGAGGAAGGAGACCGGCGGTGAAGGCACAGTCTCGAAAAAAAGGGCTAGGGTTTAAACCTAGGCTCTGATACCATGATACAATTTGATAATAATTTTGTCTTATTGAATATTGAGAGATATGTTCCTATATATAGGGATTACAAGAGAGAGTCATATTCCTAGTAGGAAAGGAATAAAGTAATTATGGTAATACAAGAATAAGGAAACTAAATAATATTAGGAGTCTTCCTATTAAAATCATCGTTTCGATTAAGAGGAAGGAAAGATTCATCTTCTTTTTTGTTTGTTTATCTTTTGCCCTGGAATTTACTCATTTACTATTTTAGTTATATGATAATCATGTTTCGAAAGTAACTTTCTCAACCATAACTGTAATCTAAGATGTGTGTTGTATTTATTTACTTGATACTTGAAGTCCGGTCTATCTAGGCCGGAGCAGCCCGGTCTGGCAGGTTCACCGCAGCAGCATATCCGCCGGTCGGAGCATCGAGAATCCGTCGAAATCCGGCGAGAAGGCTCTCAAAAAGGAAGGCGAACTCGAAAAGATCCTCAATAAAGACGTTCCCGTTTCGAAATCCGTGAAAAAAGAAGGAACCGACGGTCGCCAGAAAAATCCGTGACAAAAAATATTTGTTTTAATTTTTAAAATCCATGGCACGGATATGTCCGTGGAAAAATATTTGAATTTCGGAATTTAATCTCCCTGCGTATTTGAATTTTTTTAAAATTTTTGAATATTTTGAAAATTTTCAAAATAAAGGCACGGATATATCCGTGACTTATGTTATATTTGTAAGAACACAATTTTGACACGGACATATCTGTGCCTAATATCTTTAACGTTTTTCTTACAACCGTCAGTTTGGAACGATTTTGTCACAAGTGACGCCATCTCTATATTTGGCACGGACTGAATTTCCGTGCCATACGGTTTGGAGCTTCGAAATTGGCAGCGTTTTGTGTCCGCGTTTTGTGTCCGTGCCTAAATCCTTAGTCACGGGAAACTTAAACTACAGTCCGTGCCAAAAAGCCGTGCCAATTCCGCATTTTTTTGTAATGAAAGATATTCGTAAAAACATAAAACCGTTATATTGTAATGGAAAAATAAAACCAAACAAGTAAAAACCATTTTGGTAACTGCAAAATAAAATAAATAACTTGAAAACCAATTACGTACATAGAACCAATTGTTTTAATTAATTTATGTGTTACCTTGAAATTTTTTATATTAAATTTGTTAAAGTTTAAAAACGTTTAAATATTTAAGAATACGGAGTATATTTTACAATGGTGGTGTTGTTAAATAATTTGAGAATTGAAACATTATTTGTAACAGCTTGGAAGAATTCTAAAATAATAAAATAATTAAGTGGTAGTCTACGAAAGTCCCAAGAATCCCTCAACATTGAGGATGCTCTTTCATTAAAAACATATTTAAATATAACTATTTGTATATTCGATGAACAAAGCATGAAGAGGATATATGGTGACATGTTTGACGCATAGTGAGGGATGGCCATGTGCGTACATCAATTAACAGTGGGGTAAGACATACTCCTACAAACAAACACTGTTCACTTTCTTTTTATAAAAAGGGCCGACTTCGTTCGTTTTCCCACCATCTCATCATCATCATCTGCACCGCTCCCTGCACCACAGATTGATTGTGATAGATGCTTTTCCTACCCCATCATCGTCATTGCCATTGCCATTGCCAATAGATAATCAAAATTCGATTCTCATCCGCATTCGTTTATGTTTAAACAAAAAATATATGTGTCTACTTAAAGTAGGTATTATCCGTATTCGATTGATTAAGGACATTTGATTCGTAAAGAATATGAATTTGATAATCATACATTGGATTTCGTTTATAATCCGTTCCGCATCCACATTCTTTTGAGTAACCGTTTTCCCCAAATTTTTGTTTATAAATTTTGTTTTTCTAATTAACTTCTTAAAGTATTAGTCATTTTTATATCTAAAATACATGTGTATATGGACAAATATATGTATATATGTAGCATATAATACTTTTTACCATATGGGATTTTCGTAGAATAGTATAGATTACAAAAAGTAAGAAAAGTATTACATGAGACAATTTTTAATTGAACTAGTATATTAAAAGTATTTATATATGCTACTCCGGACACTTTAATTTGACTTTGAAAATTTATAAACGGATACAAATTTATTCAATATCTGAAGGATGGTAGATACGGTTTTGATTTTTAGCATCCACCAAGATCTGTAATTGAATGTGATATCTAATACAAATAAACGGATATGCAATCCAAAACTCATAGATTTTTAGCAAAATTTGTATTATTATACATCACAGTGAACCTGAAGAGAAGTGCACTCGGACCCAGACTCAAATAGGGATAGTCGTATCGAGTTCTTTCTTTACAGAGATTGACTCTATAGACTATAGATGGCCATAATTAAAAGGACTAAATGATGGAAAATGATTAAGGACCTGTTCTTTTGGACTTGAACTCTTAACTTCCAGTTCTTTTCAGTTTCTTCCAGTTCCTTCCAGTTTCTTCCAGTTCCTTCCAGTTTCTTTCAGTTCTTCCAGTTTTTTCTAGTTTTTTCCAGTTGCTTCCAGTTTCTTCCAGTTTTTCTTGTTTTTTCCAGTTTCTTCTAATTTCTTCCAACTATATTTATTTTCTTCAAATTCTTTCTACTTTCTGACAAATCACTCTAAAAAAATATATTATTATTATTATTATTATTATTATTATTATTATTATTATTATTATTCTTACAGTTTTTTAATTACAACTTTTATGTTGATAACTATAGTTTATAAATTATTTCATTTTGTCATCTCACTATTTTTATGATTCATATTCATTATTTTTTTCTTTAACTTTTTAATATGAATAATACCATTTTTTGTATATTAATCTACAAGAAAAAATAGGAAACTATTTTAAAAATTATGGTTAAATATTTATATACACCATCCGTCCCTAAATATTCACAAGTCACAACATTTGCTTTTTCAATAGTCGCGAGAACTTTTGTTTATTTCGATGTTTTCATTGATTATTTGATAAAATAAAATATTCTTGACACCTCTTATTTCGAAGAACTTTTCATGTAGTTTTTTAATATGTAAATTTTATTTTTTATTTCTATACCAATATGTAAATAAAATGAATTGAAAAAATTTAATATTTTGCCTCGGGAATACAAATGTGGCAAATAATTTGTGACGGAGGGAGTAGAATATTTTTTAATCTAAATTTATAATAGGTAAACATCAATATTTTAATCTAAAATATAGTACCTTCAATTAAGTTTAACTACATTGTAGAATATTAAGTGCTAGTTCATCTCTAATTATTTTTTAAAACTATCTTTTTATGTATGAAAATAATATTCGTAATATTTTTTATATTTTAAAGACAATCATTTAGATAACGTAATAACACCACCACTACCACCACCACCACCACTAACAACAACAACAACAATAATAATAATAATTACGAGTATTATTATTATAGCAATAATAATAATTTATATCAACAAGAATCAGAATGAGAATAATTTAAAACCACACATAAAAATTTTTTAAAAACTTTTTTTAGATTTTACAATTTATTCTAGTTTTTTCAGTTTCTTTTAATTTTTTCCTGTTTTTCCAGTTTTTTCCAGTTTCTTCCCGTTTCTTTCAGTTCCTTCCAGTTTCTTCCAATTCCTTCCAGTTTCTTCCAGTTTTTTCCAGTTTCCAACTCTTTTTTTCCAGTCCTAAAGAACAGGCCCTAAGGCATGACTTAATTCTTTAATATGATTTGATGGATTTATGAAATTGAAACAAATATTTTCTCATAATTATTCAATTTGCTTGTATAATGTGATTAATTATAAGTTATCCTACAAAATCTACGTTGTGGTACAACCCAACGTGATGGAACCGATCCTAGAGGGTGCTGAGGCGGAAGAGATGGCGGCTTGGCATGGGAAATAATCCATCTTATTATCTTTTATTAAATCAACTTGAACATTTTCGGGTCTTGGACCCATGTGTGTACTCTTTTAAACCTTTTAAACTTATGCAACATTTTACTTTATTCACTACTCCGAACTATTTGTAACGTTGAAGTTTTGAATCATTTAAAATATTATTATAAAGATGTTTTCTTCAAATTATGGATGTTACTTTACCAATTTACTAACGTTTCGGTTCAATAATTCACATGAATCGAGTTATGCGGATCAGGGTGCTACATCTCTATTCTTTTACTAGATGCTTTGGCATTGACATTTCCATGTGGTGAATTTCTTCTCATTGCTAATGTTGACTCAAGTAAAATAACCACTTCTTTGGGAATCTTTCACCTTGGTAACCCCTTACATATTTCCTTTCTTAAATCTCACCTTTTATCTATCTACCGCTTCATAAAAGACAATATTTGTTCTCTACCTTTTACGCCAACGGATATTCAAATCCTAGACAACAACACCCATCGAGTGAGGTGTCTACGTCATCTCTAATGTCTCCTTCCGTGCGTTCAGCCATTCTCACCTCTCAAGATTGGCATCGTTGCTTCGGTTGGGACTTCCCTCTCTAACTGTTACAAATAAATTACTGTTTGTTATTTGTTTTTTGGTTTCTCTTCCTCATCAAATGTACTATTTTGTGCGTCTTCTTTTTATCCTAATCTCATAAACTACCTTTTCCCTTATCATATAGTGCTACTGCTTGTCCTTTTTAATTAATTCATTCTGATGTTTGGAATCCTACATCTATTTTTTCTTTTGGTAGTTATTGTTTGTACATCTCTTTTGTTGATGACTTCACAAAATATACTTGGTTATACCCTTGAAAACATAAATATGAGGCGTTTGACACTTTTCAAAGTTTTCAACCCATGGTAAAAAATGAGTTTGGGGCCAACATTAAACTTTTTCACATTGACAACAGAAAAGAATATGAAAATAAAAAGTTTGGTCACTTTTTACAACGCCTTAGAATTCTTCCCCAAAAAAACGTACCATGAAGGTATATTAGTAAAAACATGCCATGAAGGTATATTAGTAAAAAAACAAGTCAAAAAAACGTGCCATGAAGGTATATTAGTAAAAACACCTTAGGTTGGGACAATTTTATCCCTAAAATTCTTGTACACTTTTGCGTATAAACATGCCATGAAGGTATATTAGTAAAAAAACAAGTCAATCTGTTAAAAAACATGGCATTAAGCCGTCCAGAGGCTCTGAGGTTACATTGGTGTAAGATTTCAAAACCAAGAATAAAAACAAAATAAGTTTTGAAAGCATATGATATAACAATACATATTTACAAAACTACAAGTGTATCAGTGAACTAAACTATGTCTTTCACATAAACTCGTCTTTATTTGTTGGACTAAGATTGTACATCTTTTTTTTTATACACTTAATTCTAGCTGAAGATTGTACAAAAGCCAATTGATAGAGTAACGGCTATCTAATCTAATTCAACCAAATACTCATAATTGTGTAACATTCCTGAAAACGCGCATGATGCTAATTAAGTTGGACTTTTTTCACGCCAACAACGTTGTTTATGTCTCATGTCCTAATTGGGTTTTTCATGTGTTCATCCAGCAGGGAATGTCTCATCACATGTATCTATATATATGTATCCACCAAAATGTTCAATAATTAACCTACAAAAACAAAACTTTGTGATTGGTTTAAAAATTAATTGTTAACGCTTAATCGTCGCCGTCCTTATGATAATCTCATTTGTTCTCCATCTCTTTCTAGTGACGATCTTCGTGACACTCGCGACACTCACATGCACGAATCAAGAAGATCGGGAAATGTATTTAGTGTTGACGGAAGGAGACCCCGTCGCGTTTCTTGAACGAGAGAAACACGACGATCGCAACGGGTAATTGGTGTGGTTAAGGAAAATGAAGATTAATTAATGATGGTCTTGATTAGGAAAATGATTTGCTTGATTGGGGCAGTACTTAAATGACTGACAGACTTGATGATTTTTTTTGGCAGTGAGAGTTTAAAGGCTTATGCAAAGCAGTTGACAGAATCCCATGATGAACTGCTAGAGTCCTGTTTGGATGTGGAAAGTTACAGCAAGATTTACAGCTTCAAACACATTGTAAATGGATTTGCAGTCCACACTACTCCTTCTCAGGTAACTTATCACCTCTCCACAACACTATAACAAGAAATCTACCTAAATAGAACTAAAATATGAAACTTATAAGAGCATTTTTGTACTGTAAGTGCCATAACTTGTCATTGTTTATTACTCTTTCTGGTCCTAAAAATTCTTTATGTTTTAACTTTTTCTAGTCAAACAATGACACTCTTTATAATCTAAATAAAGATAACAAAAAGCACACATTGGCAGATGGGAGTAGGGGAAGAGGTCGACCTAGGTAGAATTGGAAGGAGGCGATTAGTCAAGATCTAAGACTTCTTGTGGATATGACCTTAGATAGGAGCGTCTGGAGAGTTAGGACTAGGGTAATTGGGTAGGCGCTTTGGACTTTGAGGTTGTTTCTCCACTCGTGTGCTCTGCTTGCTTGTAGGCTTGATGCCCTTTGGTGATGTGTTTTTGTTTAGTTTTATTAGTTTATTCTAGGCCTATGTGTGTTTTTTGTTATCTTTGCTATAAATGTCTTTTTGACCTCATTTTTATCTTTATTTTTTGAGCCAAGGGTTTCTTGGAAACAACCTCTCTACTCTTGAGTAGGTTTGTGATCCAACTTGGTTGTTGTATCCTAAGATGAACCCATTTATATTAAATTTATATCATAATTTAAAATACTCTTCTCACAATTTTTTGTCAAAAAGTATCACAGTTTGACTAAAAAAATCGAAACAGGAAGAGTTTTTAAGACCGGAGGGAGTAGTATTTTACAGTGTCTTTTAGCATTATATGTTGGCATTATAAAGCCTAGTTTAGTATAGGACACTGAAGATCCTATTTTTGTATATGGAGCATGATTTAGTCCTAGTTAAGTACTTTCCCCTAGTTATTACCCTATATATGAATATGAATGAGTGGACCCCTTAAAGAGAAATGTCTCTCCAGATTGAGAAGGTGAGGAGAGCAAGAGGGGTGAGGTTAGTGGAGAAGGACAGAAGGGTCAAACACATGACAACATACACTCCACAGTTTCTTGGGATGGAATCAGCATGGACACAAGAAGGGGGAGAGAGAGACGCGGGCGAAGGCATTGTCATTGGATTTGTTGACACCGGGATCAACCCGTCACACCCCAGCTTTGCCTACGACCCCACCCACCCGTTCTCTCCAATAACTTCCCGTTTTTCTGGGGATTGTGAGTCTGGTCCTCTGTTTCATGAGTCTGCCTGCAATGGAAAAATTGTGTCTGCCAGGTTTTTCTCTGCAGGGGCACAGGCTGCTGCTAACCTTAGTGCCTCAGTTGATATTCTCTCCCCTTTTGACGCCGATGGCCATGGAAGGTAGCATAGATTACATTATTCATACTCTGTATTAGATTAGCTAACTCAATCTAATCGATTATCAAACCATCATTCTTTAATTTCCCAAATCATTTTGCAGTCATGTGGCTTCAACTGCTGCTGGGAATTCAGGAGTTCCTGTTGTGGTAGATGGCTTTTACTATGGTAGAGCCAGTGGAATGGCACCGCGTGCAAGGTTAGTGTTCATTGTATATATATGGAGTTGGAAGCATAATGGCTTATACTTTGTTTTCCATTGACAGGATTGCTATTTACAAAGCGATATATCCAAGTATAGGAGTTCTCTCTGATGTCTTGGCAGCTATTGACCAAGTAAGTTATCGGCTTAATTAGGAGCTCTCTCAGTTCAAGTTCCTTTTCTTTTGACTTCCAATTACAGTTACCAGTTCCCACAATTTGCAGGCAGTGTTAGATGGAGTGGACATCTTGTCACTGTCAATAGGTCCAGACGATCCACCTGAAGAGGCACTCACATTCTTGACACTGTTTGAGATCTTCATGCTGGCGGCACACAAAGCTGGAGTCTTTGTTGTCCAAGCTGCTGGAAACCGCGGTCCGGGTCCTTATAGTGTCATCTCTTTCAGCCCATGGACAGTGGGAGTTGCAGCTTGTGACACAGACAGGAGTTTCCCCGGCACTCTCATTCTTGGCGATGGTCAAAAGATCAGTGGCATAGGCTTATCAGGTCTGAGCATTTTTCTCTTTCTTAGTTTCTTTCCAAGAATTCACGTTTCACGAGATGGATTGGGGGCATGAAAAGACTTCCAAGATTGGATTTTTTTTATTTCTTGATAGGCTCAACATTGGGTGGTGGGGTGCTTCAACAAAAGCTGGTTTTGGCTAAGGATGCGACAAGGATAAACGGAACGTTTCCTATGACTGCAGAGTACATAGAGGAGTGTCAGCATCCAGAGGCATTAGAGGCTTTTGTGGTGGAAGGAAGCTTGGTGATCTGCAGCTTCTCAGCTGGTTTTTCCAATGGATCATCATCTCTAACATCTGTTATAAAGACAGCAAAGGCTCTTCGGTTTGGGGGGTTTGTATTTGTCGCAAACCCAACCTATGGTGACTTCATAGCTGAGCCTATCCCCTTTCACATCCCCGGGATTTTAATCCCAAGAATCAGTGACGCGCAAGTACTGAACGACCCTAACTTGTAGTTCTTTATATGTCGATTCATATTTTTTTATTGTAAATATTTTGCAATGTGAAATCACTTCGCAAATGCTTGACAGACCATATTGAGCTACTATGAAAACCACACTGCAAGGGACGACCGGGGAAATGTCATGAAATACAGCGGGCATGCTGCCATAACTGAGGGAAGAATCGCTTGTTATGCTTCGCGAGCTCCGGTTGTTAGCCGGTTTTCTTCCAGAGGTCCAGATTTCAGTGGTGAGAGCAGGAATGCAGCTGATGTACTTAAGCCTAACCTTTTGGCTCCAGGGCACCAGATTTGGGCAGCTTGGAGCCCCATGAGTGTTTCAGATCCCATTCTTTCTGGTAAGTCCAAGTTAAGAAATCTAGATTAAGGGGCCATTTGGCTTTGATTCATCCTTCTGTGAATCTTAGTTCTGAGAATCAGCTCTTTAAAAAGAATCAGCAAATGATTTATATTTTTAGAAGCTAAGCCAAATGGCTCCTAAACCAGCTTATTAATTGGACTCAATCTTTGAGAAATGATTGGAAGAATGACATTTTAGGGCACAACTTCGCAATGATATCGGGGACGAGCATGGCAACACCACACGTTGCAGGCATTGCAGCGCTCATAAGACAGAAATACCCTTCGTGGACCCCGTCCATGATAGCTTCGGCATTGTCGACCACTGCGACCACACAAGACAACCTTGGAGAAACCATAATGGCTCAAGGACTTGAGCTTGACAGCTTACACCCCTCAGCACCCTTTGGTTTTGGTTCTGGCCTAGTTAACCCCTCCCGTGCACTCGACCCCGGTCTGGTTTTCTCAACCGAATTCGAAGACTACATTGGGTTCCTTTGCTCCCTACCGGACATTGACCCAGGGGTGGTGAAAACCGCAACGGGTGGAGTTTGTGACCATGTATTTGAACATCCAACCGACTTGAACTTGCCTTCGGTGACCATTTCATCCCTGGCTGGATCTAGGCTGGTGCGCCGAAGGGTCATTAATGTAGCCAGCAAACCGGAGAGTTACACGTGTGCAGTGGTGCCGCCAAAAGGGGTGGCAGTTGATATAGAGCCGCCGTGGTTCGGGATACCCCCACAAGGAACTCAAGATTTAGAGATAAGGTTTAATGTTACAGAAGCAGGAAAAGACTTCAGCTTTGGTGAAATTATCTGCACTGGGAGTTTGGATCATATCATGAGGATGCCCTTGTCAGTGTTGCCTATCTCTGCAGCTTCCCTAACCTAATAGAACAATTTACTCTTCTTTCATGACTCATGAGATAATAATAATAATCTCATGATTATATTTTCAAGTTTTATTGTTTTATCAAGCTCTGCATTTACACCTTAGCTAGTTAGTAGTAACCAACCTCAATAGAAAGCTACCAAGATTGGTTCAAAAAGGTAAAAATCATCATGATCTATGCTCTCTTTACATAATTTGTTCAAGAAATAGGAAAACAAATACATAAATCTTCTTTGCATATAATGTGATATATCATCTATTGACTATAATCATTCACAAGTGATCAAACTTGTTGAAATTACTTACAACTCTGCAAAAGCTGGTACTTAGTATGGTGTGTCGATAGAACCATGTTCCGGTGTCTTGAATGAAAATCTTGACTCATCACTAGTTCTTATTCTTGCTATGCTTGCCCTTCGCACTAGCCGAACAATCGCTTGAACAATGTCAGACATTGGAGGACGAAACTTGGGTTCAGTCTGTATATAAGGGGAAACATTGATGCGATTTATATCAAAAAATAAAAAGAACAAGTCCATATCATCAAGTCATTTTTTTGCTTATTTTTCTGTTATTGAAAAATACGCGCGAAGAGGCATACCTGAACACATGAGGCAATGATGTCAGCGAAGCGGGACAATGACTTGGCAGGGTACATGCCATTTAAAGCAGGATCAACCATTCTTGCTAAGGCATCTATATCATGAAGTTGAGGTGTGGCCCACCTCACAAGTGACTGTTCGGATCTCTCCCGCGAACTAAGAGACGTGTTTCCAAAGGAGGAAATCAATGAAAGTAGTCGAGAATAATCATTGGTTGTTTTATAGGTCTTGAATGTTAGTGTAGAACGTACCTATCAAGTGGCTTCCTTCCTGTCAATATCTCAAGCATTACAACACCAAAACTGTACACTTCACTTTTAACAGTACAAATTCCAGATAATACAAACTCGGGGGCGCTGTAACCAAATGAACCAATCATCTGCGTTGATGAAACCTAGAAATTGTTAATAAAAAAAAGATTAATTTTATCCTAATTATATGTAAAATGCATGCAAGGGTTAATGTTCTACCTAACATTTCTTAATTCATGTGCAAAAATATAGGGAACTATCTTTGTTGGATTGAAGGAGTATGCTACAAGCTGAAATATAAGCTTCTACTACGTATGAAGCACACATAATGCATTGTTACAAACTTCATCTTACCATATATACACTGAAAAAGGTTTCTCAAAAACCTCAAAAAGTATTTTTACTTCCATTTTCAATCGTATATCCTTTTTCAAAGCTCAATCATATCATTGACATGGTCCCAAATTAAAGGGGGGGAAATGGAAAAAAAGAAAATATAAAAGAATATTCCCTTCATCCCCTACAAAAGAGTCATATTTGTAATACTGATTTCAGTACTGCAAACAAGACTCTTTTTTGGGGGACGAGAGTAGTAATAAACATGTTACACAATCTTACCTGGTGTCCTGTAGATAAGCCACAATCAGATAACTGAGGATTGAGGTCCTCGTCTAACAAAATGTTTTCGGACTTAAAGTTTCCATGTACAACAAAAGGTGTACAAACCTCATGCAAGTACCTGGAATTTGATTATAAACTCAAACTATGAAAAAAATAACAATGCCAGAATTGAAAAAAAAATAAACTCATTTTACGTACTCTAATGCCCGAGCAACCCCAAGTGCAATTTTAACACGTGCATTCCAAGTCAACAGTTTATTGCTCCTCTCATTACCAAAATGCAGCATATCATGAAGGCTACCATTCTTTACATGATCAAAGACGAGAAGACGTTGTCTGTGCTCTGTACAGTATCCCACTAGTGGAACAATGTTTCCGTGTCTCAGCCTTGACATCTTTGTGACAATTTCCAGAAAATCATCTTCCTCTTGCAATGACAATATTGCACTATCAATCTTTTTTATGGCCAGTATCTGCTACAAATATAACATGAAGCTATCACATCAATTTTAATAGTCCACATTTGGTTTGGCACAGAGTTTAAGAAATGTGAAATTGTGTGGTTGAAAGTATGCAATGGATATAAAAAAATACGAACCATAAAAACCTTTCCATAAGTGGAAAGAAATCTTTTTTTTGGGATGGCCTAGAAAGAAAACGAGGACTACTAATTTCGGATAGATGGAGTATACGAGAAGAAAAAAAAATTACATTTCCATTTGGAAAATCTGCTCTATATACACAGCCAACGGAACCTTCACCCACAAGGTTTTCTTGGCAAAAACTGTTTGTTGCATTTTGAAGTGCAGCAACGGTAAAAGGTGTGGCAGTAATAGTGGAGTTTGCACTCTTTACAGAACCTTTCCTCTCCTGTACGATATCTAATGTCATTCTCTCCATTGGTAGAGGCTACAAGTCTACTACAGTGGATGCCAAATTTGCCCTTGGCTCTAGCACCTTCCTGTTCACTAGAATTATGATGGATAGAAAAATGAATAAACTTTCGTGATGATCTGCACTTATCTGTTACCACTATATGCAATAGGATTACCTGTAGAGGCTCTTGTTGCATTTTCCTTACCCTTGCACTTTCGGATGCATATTATAAGTGCAGAAATAGCAAAGAGAACAACCAATGAAGTTACCAAAACTATGCCTATAATATCTCCGGCTGTCAAACTTTTCTTTCTATTTCTGTTCTCTAGATTGGATGGTTGGGCTCCATCAGAACCTTGTGCTTTATGAAGATCTGGAGGAAAGTGATGGGTGTCATTGTTGTCAGATCCACTAGGTGGATGTGGAGATGGAGGAAAAAAGGGTGGCGGAGGATCGGTGTCATTGTTGTCAGATCCAATATTGTCAAATGAGTTTCCATCATATCTGTTTAGGAGTTCCACGGCAAAATATAACATTGAATATTCATCGTGTGTCCCCGGATGTAAACATTTTTTACATTAGTAAATGTAATGCTCACATGAAATTCGGAATTGAAATCATTTCATATGGTACCAATCCACTGAAATTATTGTTTGCAACATTCCTGCAGATTAGTTTAGCCATGCACATATAAACTGATTTTGGCATTTAACAGATCGAGCTAAAGAACAAGAAAGGTAGGAGTTGACACTCACAAATCAATCAAATGTAAATCAACCAGAACATCAAGTGTACCAGACAGTTGGTTGCCCTGCAAGTAACTGACGGAATCGCAGATATCATGAGATCAAAAGGAAACAAGACTGAATGGCTAATCCTAGTAAGCATCAACTTATCACACTTACAGTATGGCCAGATTTGACAATGAACCAATGGAAGGAGGAAGATCTCCACTAAAATTGTTGAAAGAAAGATCCCTGGAGATGGAAATAATGTGCTTAAAGTTCAAAAATGAATCGAGAAAATACAGCAAAAGCAAGTGAAGATACATTATCAAAACAAAGATTCAAAATATCATGAATCAAACATCAAGAACTTGAATATAATTCAAGAAGGAAGTGGTTAAGAATGAGTTTGGACCTAACTCAATATGAAGTACATTCATTCATATTGAACACTCTTAAACATCAGTTGCCATAAAATTAAAAGAAATGAAGCATGTAAACATCCAACGGACAATTAAGTAAATGATGATAAAGTACTAGTCGGGATGGCTTACAAGGTTGCAAGGTCGGAATGGTTAGTAAACACATCTCCAACAGATTGATGGAGAGAGTTCCTGCTAAGATTTCTAAACCATGAATTGCTTCGGGTTAGACACTTCAATATGGTGGAGTAAAAAAGAACATAATTCCAAGTATAGAATTGCAGACAATTTTCCACTTTTGGTCCATGACTACTAGATCATTTTTATTTTTACTTATGGTGCGACTATGGATTCTTGTCATACTTATCCTTTCTAGTCACTTGTCAGGTAAAAAACGGGAAGTGGTCAAAAGGACCAAGAACGACAAGAAATCCTTAGTCATGTGCCAAAATGGGAAAGAATTGAAACTTGAAAACATAATAGAGTGGCTTTATAATCGTGTGACCAAAGATAGAACATTTTCGTGCAATGCACTAAAGTAATGAGTGGATACAAGTCAAATCAACTCACAGATAATTAATAGACACCATGTCAATGATTGAATAAGGAATACTCCCACTTAAATGATTGGATGCAAGATTCCTGAATAATAAAAAAACGAAAATAATATTCTTTTGAGAACTAAACAATGAACGGAAAATGGCTTGAAGTAAGCCACACTTCACAAATATTCAACATTACAAGTTGGTGAGATCCAATGGTAACTGATAAGGTATTGAGCCATGAATGTTGTTACCACTCATATCCCTATGATGGTAAAAAGCATACCGAAAGTCAGTGTGTATCTCAATGGTATACAACTGTGTATTTTAATCTCTTCATGGTGAGAAAGAAATTTTACAGTGTTTTTAGTGATTTGAGACCATCGAGCATGTAACCCATTGTTCCATTCAGTCCAAGTCCGGAAATGTCACTGCTCCAAGAAAACCAAAAATGGTTGAACATGGATAAGGTAAACTTTTAAGTATCTCACATTGAGAATTTACCTACACACTACCCGCCATATAAGAGATAGACACCCTAACCTTATTGTATACTCCATCCGCTCTTAAATAATTATCCACTATGACTGTCTACTTGCATAAGAATCAAATGAATGTGGACATAATGTATGTCCACATTCAATCAATTTTTAATGTATGTAAAAAGCCATAACGGAAAGTTATTTAAGAATAGCTAAACGGAGGGAATAATGTTTTGACCCATCATACGGCTCTTATATGTTGTTGGACTTATTTAAAACTAAATTAATTAAAAAGAAAAATGGAATTTATAGCATAAACATTACATTGAGACAACAGAGGAGCCTTGACAAGCAACTCCTCTCCACAACTCTCTACAAGGATCTCCACCATTAGCCTTCCAGCTAGTCAGCTTTGAAGGACTGTTCAGTGACGTGTATATAACTTGGAGTGATCGCACTGCATAACGGCTTTTCAGCCATAATATCAAAAGAAGTTCCATTTGTATGATTATATATCACACCAAACATGAACATGCATCCCTCACATTGCAGAATAATTGTATGGTTAGGAAAGTGGATGATAGTTGAGTATTAAATACGGAGTATATAAGACAAGTTTTTCCTAATATATAATAGTTCGTACTACAGATATGGCATTATGTTCATTTTTCTCAAGATACGAAAATAGACGAAAACACATGCATGATTGTGATAGTGAACATATAGACACATTAACAATGAGTATCAATTTTGGTCTAATGACTATGGTGTCATTATTTTATATTGGCGTTTGACTTGAAAACTTATCATTGATTTCGGTGGAATGTGTACCAATTCCACGAACCGTGGCCCTTCCAGCCATATTTCTGGCAAACATTTGACAGACTAACATATAATTCTCTCAAAATTCCAAACTAATTTCACCAGGAAAGTGTTCAAAATGACCAATAGTGGTATGAACACCCTACTCGTGCACCCATATTGAAAGTCAACAGCGAATTTGTGAGATCAAAACTGAGAATCAAGAATGTGCAATTTTGTTCGAAAACTTAATTCTTTGACTGGCATTGACTCCACAACAACAACAACAACAACAACTCAGTTGAATCCCACTACAGTAGGGTCTGGGGAGGGTGTGTGTACGCAGACCTTGCCCCAACTCGGAAGTAGGGAGGTTGTTTCCAAGAGACCCCCGGCTCCAACTGCACAAGAAATATGATAAGAATCACAGTATAACACAGATAAAGCACCAAGTATACTTTCTAAGCAAGAACCCAAATTGAAATTATAAGATCACAAAGATTGGAAGTAGAAATTATACAAAAGATACCCTCTATATGCCATATTGTTCCCTAGAAGAAAATGAAATCACATTCTGATTACAACCACAACAACATACTCCGTAACGAGTAAAATCCCACAAAAGTTGGGTCAACGACTGTGTGTACGCAGAACTTACCCCTGCTTGGATAGTCAAGTACTCAAAATAATCACATAAACTCATGGGAAGTTTTTCAAGAAGCAAAATAAAATAGGCATATAAAAGATTCAAGAATTCAGCTACTACTTACTCAACATTATTAAAAACTGGAAGGAAAAAAGATATTTTTTTATAAAATCAGGAAGAAATGGGGAATTTTAAACACCACAGTATTGATTAAAAAAATTACTCATATAAAAATGGGAAATTTTTTACATGAACAAAAAGAAAAGCGGAAGAAGAAACTTACAGTCCATGGGATCAGTAGCTGCTTCTAGAAAACCCAATGCTAAAATCACGGCCATGATCACTAAAATAACTGCAGTTGCAGTTGAACCCTTCGTCATTTCCAACGTTAATATTTTCATCAGTATTTACTCTTCTTGTTCTTCTTTTCTTCTGTTTAAACGGAGAAAATAATAAAGAGGAGGATGATGTTTGATAATAAGGGAGGCTGGTAGGCGACGCCATAGCCAAAAGGAGAAAGCTTGAGAGGTTATCAGATTCGAAACTTCACATAACATGTGTGCTTTTTTGAGCATCTATCAAGATAATGAATGTATCATGTCTCCATGAAAGAATTTCCCATTGTCTTACCCCTCGGTACCTAAAAAAAAAGGAGAATAATTCATAAAAACTTCTTTATATATTTAATCCCTACCTATCAAATATTACTAATTTAGTCTCCAATTATTATATCAGTTTTCTCGAATGGTACTTTGTTAACGTTTTTTTTAAGAACATGGATAAAATTGTATATTCATACTTCTCTCTCTCCTCAATTAAGTTTTCTCGCTCTTCTCGTATCTTTCCCAAACTCGTCGCTAAGTTTGAAGCTCTAAACCCAAAACTGAAATGATCATTCTTCTCTCAATTCTTATTCTTCCTGGTGGAACCTAAAATCAAAGCTTCAAACTCAGCGACGGGTTTGGGAAAGGAGTGCGAGGGCAAGAAGGAAGCTTAATTGAGCAAAGAAAGAGGTGTGAATTTACAATTTTATCCACGTTCTTAAGGAAATGTTAACAAAGGACCATTCGTGAAAATGAATATAATAATAGGGGACTAAATTAGTAATATTTGATATGTAGGGACTAAATATGTAAAACGACTTATAACTGAAGACCTTTTATGGAATTTACTCAAAAAAAAGCTTTCATTTAATTTCACATAAAATTTAGAAAATGTAAAATTATATTAATTTCATCCCAATATATTTATTTAGTTTGACTAATTTAAGTCAAACTACAAAATATTTGGACTTCAATTACTTTGAATATGTATTGCCTATTAGTAATTGAAAATAATTTGAAAATTTTCAATAAGATAAATCTAATAAAATCATTTTTATATCAATATGCATTATCATTTTTGTTAGGATGAAGTTAGGAATATAGGAATCATCAAATTTGTGAATAGAGCACTGGAGGTGCCCGGTGCTCCGAAAAGACAGTGACAGCAACAGTGACTTTGTAAGCCAATGGCTTTGGAACCGCACCAACAAAAGTATTATAACATCGAAGTTCTCATATTGTTTGGACTTGTGGTTTCTACACCATAATCTTTCAAAAATCTCTCCGAACAATATACAAGGTAGCAACAATGACTTTTTTTTGCTCACCAAAATTTGACTCTTACTAGATATTAATCCGAGACTTGAATTACACAATTGGTTGAGGAAATGTTAAAGGGCTTGAGATAAGTCTTCCAAGAAAATCATTCTATATGCACTAAGACTAGAACTAGAAACTTTAATTAAATGATATCGAGTCACTTGTGATTTAAACCAAATCCTTTGATAGTGCATGATTAATTTAAAAATAGGCGGGTTCAAAAAAAATAAAACAAGGTATAAATTTTGGATAGCCAAATTAGAACTAACACGAATCAATTGTAAATATCCCATCTTATGGGCGGCTATGGCACAATTGAACATTGAACTTAAGCTTAAAAAGAATGGCCAAAGTATCTTACTTAAGTTTAAATATTGATATTTTTGTATAATTTTTTTTTATCTTATAAACTTAATATGAAATAGTATGATATGAGAATTTGATTATGGTCTTTAGCAATTCAATTACAACTTTCTCAATAACTTTATAATTATATGCATGTGATAGAAAAAGTAGACGCCGAGTACGTAGAAAATGGATTTATGCACATACCAATAACGACTTCTCTATAGTCTATATTTGACAATTGATCAAATGTCTGGAAAATGTTTGATCCAAGGTAATTAATGGCAGTTGCAGATATGGTAGGTTGTAATAGATATTCATATTACAACATCTATCTTCACGAATATTTTTCTCGGTCCATTGAAACTTCCTTTTAACATCTATTGCATTTCGCATGAAAATAAAGTATACCAACTATTGTACTCCGTATTTTTTAATTTAGAAACATGGATGTACCATCATATTTCGGGCTTTCAATACGTTAAATTGATCGCGTGAACGCCTTGAAAAATACATAGTGTAAATCATATTGATCAATGATACACCATACACACACACGTAATTAGAATTTTGAAAATTATTTGTACTCCAAAATCCCAACATCTAACAAACTATAGACTTTTTGACAAATAAACAAAATTATAAAAAAGATAAGTAAGTCTATCAGTTGTGTATACTCCTTCCTCCATTCAAAAAACTTGATATTGCAGCCTACATACAATATTTGAATAAACTTGTTTTCAATTTACTCCATTTCAAAATTAATGTAAAAAATAAAATTTATATAATTGGAATTACATCAGGAAATCTATAAAATAAGTCCTTGTAATATAAATAAACAGTATTATTTTGTCAAATAATCAATTAATATAAAAAATGTGAATTTAATTCGAATAAATAAAATAGTAAATACATTTTTTCCAGAGAGGGAGTATTAGTTTAGGAAAGAGGTGAAGAAGTCATCATCATCATCATGTTTAGGTTCATCCATATAATATCCCTCCGAATTCTCCGCACTCCCAAGATCCGGTCCCTGCAACATCTGCAAGGTAATCGGCTGTTGACATGATGTGTTTTGGTTGTTCAATGAGTGGTCGGAATTGTCTGCCGGCATCGTCGGCGGTCGCAGTGCCAAAGACACAGTCCTGGTCTGAGGTTTGTTAATGGCATGGGCATCGCCGCCGCCGCCGCGACCGGCGGGGACATCGTGGTTGTGTTTTCCCTCGTATGTCGTTATCACGGCCCGGCGGTCGTGGCATGCTCTCTCCACGTGCTTTCTCACCTGGCACCCTGTGTATGTGCACTTGTAGTAGCTCCTGTAGACAGAGCATATGTCAAAGATTTGTTTTTGACTCGAGATTTGACTCAAAAAATGCTTGTTTTCGAGTAAAGATTTTGTTAATCGAATGCGAAAATGAATCAAATTTGATTGGATCTGGATCGAACAATGGGTAGCAACGTGAGAATATATCCTTACCGAGGATTGGGATTTTCTTTCACAACTTTTTGTCCGTATTTCCTCCATCTATAACCATCGTCAAGAATGTCAATCTCACTTGTTGTTTGAACTACAATTCGCGGTTCTCGCACTGTTGTTCTACTTGCAGATGATAATGCCTCGTTATCGTTATCTCCTTTCCTGAAATCCCGAAAACGAGCAATTGTTAAAGATAAAGAATATTGGTATGATATAATTTAAATGGTGCCCCTAGAAATCAATCATGTCTTTGCCACTTTCTTAAAATTTCCGGTTTGAAATACTACTCTAGCAAAAGATATCCATGGTGCTTGTTTAACAACAGTTTTAGCGTTTAGAAAAGTTCATATAATGACATTTGTTCCCTATAGCTTTTTCAAAGTTAATTTGAACCATTAAAATATTACTCAAAAGGCTAATTAATTGAAAATGTTATTCTCAAACAAGGCCATAGTCATAAAGCTAAGCTTACCATCTCTTAGCTACGGGTTCGCTGTCGCCGTCATCTCTGGATACAGAGCCTTGATCAAGATCATCATCGCCAAATGAAACCGAAGAGTTCTCTGGCGTGATGAACCCAGTATCTCGTGGATGAGTACTCCCAAGCAACACCGCGTTTAGCTGATGATTCGGGACGTCAACGTCAAAGCTCTCAGATTTAACATTCGAAGAAGAAAACCGTCTAGTCGACTGAGGCTTGGCATGATTATGGCTACCTTTGTAGACAATCTCTGTGATGTGTCCCTCCGAGTTTCTCTCCACCTTCTTTTTCGTAGGGCAATTCGCGTACGTGCATTTGTAGTAACTCCGCGGGTTTTGGCTCCCTTTCACTTGCTTCTGTCCGTACTTTCTCCATCTATATCCATCCTCGGCTTTCTGGGCCCGGGTGTTCTGTGACGGTTGATTGTAACGCACAACCGTCACGGGTTTCTGCTGCGAGCTCGCAACATTTTTCTGCAAGGAGGAGAGGACGATGTTGCAAGCTGGTGGCTGTTTTGGTTTTGCCTCGGCCTTTGTTGAGGAGAGGTCTGAAGATCCTATGATTGGTTGTTGCCTTGACATTTGTTGTTCTTCCTGTTTGAACATGTGACAATCACTCACTTGTTATTCATGCTTAAACAAATTAAAATGTCTCCCTTTTTTCCAAAAAATAAATAAATTAAATTAAATTAAAACAAAGTGTTTCTCACTCTATTTGGTAGCATGTTAATTGTTAACGTCACTTTATTTGGTTAAATAAATTGTTTAAATGAGAGTAATGTCATTTTTATGTTTGTGTTTGGATACTTCATATTCTCTTTAATGAGAATATATATGTCAAATTAAGGACGGTCTAAGGGTGTGCAGCGTAACCCCACTTATGGCCCCCCATTTTATAGGACTCAATATTTTTATGCTCTCTCTTTAATTTATTCCAACTATTGAACGTTTTTTTTCTAATTTTAAAATTAATTTTTTGAATAAATAGATTTATGTTTTAATAGTCCAAATTTTGCATAGCTGATTATGAAAATTGAAATTAAGCTCTACTTTAGAAACACATATACTCCCCACAAAGAAAAACTAAAATCTACTCCCTTCGTTCCTGAAAGATGTTCCTATTTCATTTTTTGCGCATCCCATAAAACACTTATACCCAACCTTAAATGTCAAAAAAACTTTCAAAACAACTTCTAACTATAATAAAGAAAAAATGTGGTAAGTTTTAGGCAGTTTAGATTAGATGTGGGTAGAAGTGTTTTTATAGGACGCGCAAAAAATAAAACGGAAACATAATTTAAGGACGGAGGAAGTAGATACTACCGAGTATATGTAAAGTATTATTGCATGCACGTTTAGATTTGAAATTTCAATTCTAATGGTTTTGTCTATAAGCTATAGTACGTGTAGGAGTAGTATTTGTCTACTTTTTTTTTACTTTTTGGTCAAAATTAGTAAATATTAGCCTTAAATTAAATAAAAGTGATACTAGATATTGATATAAAAATAGTTTTATTAGATCTGTTTTATAAAGTATATTCAAAATCTTACTCCGTATTTTATTTAATCAATGTATAATACTTCCTCCGTTTCTTAAAACGCTTCCTATTTAATTTTTTTCTCTTCCCTTAAAGTCTTAAACACTTTCACTTTCTTTTAAAAACCTATAAATACATTTATTTTTCCTTATCATACCTATCAGATCATACTTTTCCACTAATAATCTATCAATCACATCTTACTTTTGTTCATCACATCAAGAGTAAAATTAAAAAGTCAACCACAAATATACACTTTTTATTTTGGCCTAAAGTCAAAATGAGAATGATTTTAAGAAACAGATGGAATATATTTTATTTAACCATAGGTCAAAATTTAAAAATGATTTACAGTAAAAAAAATCAAAACTGGACAGATACTCATAGACAAAGATAGTATATGAAAATTTGGAGGGCAAATACTATAGGTTTGAACAAATTGTAGTTGACCATAAAAAAGGAGAGAAAATGATGCATGGGAATAAATGAAGAATTGAAGAATATAATTTACCCATGAAGAGGTAATCTGGAAGGAGAAATCATTACTCTTTCTAATCCTTTCTTCTTCTTTCTCATTGGAGGATGATGACTTAATTAATCCACCAAATGCGCCAGTAGTTGGAGATGGAAGAACCTACAAAACAAAAACAATATTTTTTTAAAAAAAAAGTACTCTATAAATACAAGTACTTAATTTATACCCTTATTAAACCAATCACTGCCCATTTGTTTTCTAACAGTATAACTTTTTTGTATTTAAATATTTATTTTTTGATTATTTGAAACCATTATTTGGCACCTTTATTTTACATATTTGGTAAGATTGTGAGTTTTGTGATTGTTTTGTTTGTGACTCTAGCATTACTCGATGCTAGGTTCACAAATAGAATGTTCGCATAATCACAAACTTACTATTTATGTTTTAAATTTTCATTTTAAAATTATTTTAGACTATTTAATTTTTGTTGTTGAAATTCATAAATAGTAAGTTTAGGAAATTTGTCATCGTTGTCTTTGTGTTGTGAAGTTGTGAACCAAGCATTTCCCTTTTGTATATGATTAATAATTACTCCGCCTTTCCTCAAAAAAGAATTAATGATAAAATATTTTTTTCAATAGCCCAATCTCTAAAGAACCAAAATATCATATATGGAATAAATTTCAAAAGTTGACAATCATTTATGTAATATTTTAAAATTGGAAAAATATCAAAAATCAAGTGTAATTAGAAAAAATGATTTGTATAACTTAGAGTTCCTAAAAAAGTAAAAGGTTGGTGGCTTACATTTGAGGCGGGAAAGAAGTGGGGAGAGTCCAGCAAGAGGGAAGGGCTGAAGAGCGGAGGAAAAGTAAGGAACGACGACGGCGATGCCGGAGAAGGCAACGACAACGTCATGGAAGCGGCCGCCGGCGCCGGCGACGACCGGGCGCTCAACTTTGGGATTATCATTCCATCACTGTGGTGATCAAAACCTCCCCAAGTGAACGGGGAAGAAGAATATGTGTTCTGATGGTGGTGGATGTGGTGGTGGCCGGAATCCACGCCGCCCCAGCCGTTCAAACTCCCGCCGGAAGAACTCATTTTTACGATCCCCTGTTTTCTTTCTTTCTTATCCGATCCCTCCCCTGTTTTCTTTTTCGATCAGGAAATGGAAGAAAAATTGGAATGAAATTGAAGAAGATGACAATAATATAATGCTTTTGAGAGGAAGAAGAAGAAGAAGAAGAAAAGGCGATATTTATATAGAAACATGAATTAATTTTATGGCGGTGATGATAGGATTGAAGAAGGAGGGGGTTGTTCTGGGAAGATGCTTAGCTCGAGGGTTGACTGCGGCAAGGTTGACTTTTCTTTCTTGCTATGGTCCGGTCAAAACTCGTGCCTTTGACTGACTCGGCGGCGGAATCTTGAGATCCCCTCCCCGCCACACCACCCCGGCCTCTCTCTCTCTTATCCCTTCTCTTATTTTTATAACCTAAATTGATAATTTTCCTCGTTCTTAAAAGAATTAACGTTAGAGTTATTTACGTATTGTCTTATAGAGTTTTTGAGTAGTTTTAACTTTTAAGACATGTAAACTATACTCCCTTCGTTCCTAATGGTTTGTTTGGATGATGTGAGAAAATGGGAGAAAAAAGTAAGTGGAAAGAAAATGAGAAGAAAAAAATGTGAGATAATGAAGAGAAAAAATTTTGTTTTTTTGTTTTATAGAAATTGATAAGTAAATGGTGAAAAAAGACGAAAAGATAAGGAAAAAACAAAGAAATGCTCTTTCATCCATTTTTCTCATCATCTATGGTGAGAAAACTTTTCACATGGTTTCATCCTTTATTTTCTCTCCTCCCTCAATTTTCTCATATATCTAAACAAGTGAATTTGTACTAGTTTTTGTGTTTTCTAGCTTTCTATTTTCTCACCATCCATACACAATGTAAAAAGTTTTTCACTTTGTTCTAAAATGTCTTTCTCTTTTGAATTGAAAAACTATTCTTACCCATACTAATTTTTCCCACTCCATTACATCACATTTAATTTATTCAATAATATCGTGTGTTGTGGTTCTGTTCTTCCCAAAGGCCAGCCGAGCAAAGAGAGCCACGCAACAAAGAGGAGGTGTGGGAGAGATGCATGCCAAAGCAAGAAAAAGGAGAAAAGAGGATAGAGAAGAGATGAGGAGAGAAGACAAGCTTTGTGGCGGTCAGTGGCTAGTTGTTGTTTGTGCTGATTCCAGATCGGGGTGTCTGGGAGTACCAATCACTATTGAAGCCAAGCTTCCGCACCCAGCAGCTTAATAATCAACCGACCATATTCTACTTTTATAACATAACTTTGGAAAATCATTACAAAATTATCACTCCATTAAATTTTATTAAAGTTAAAATAGGAAAGAAGTTTATGAACGAAACAGAATACTTGTTTTATTTTTATACCAATTTATAAAGAAAATAAATTTAAAAGTTACGTAATTTTACATGTTGTTCAAATAGTGTAATTCTTTTAGAGACGGGGGGAAGTATATGAAGTTTCAGTATTACTCTTTCCCTCCCAAAATATTTGTCACATTACATAAAATCAACTAAAGTTTCAAGTTTTTTAATTTATTCTAATTAAATATTGGTATAAAAATAAAAATAAAATTTTTATATTTAAAGACAACATCAAAAGTTCTTCAAAATAAGATGTGACAACAGTTTTTTATTTTATCAAATAATGATTAATGGGAATGTACAAATAAATGAAATTTTTCGTGATTTTTTAATTATGAACTATGACATCTTTTTTGAGACGAGAGAGTATTTTATTTTGATACCTAAATTTTAAATTCCTTACAACAATTATACTCCAAAGTATGTCATCACACTACTACACAAACAACCAAATAAATCACCCCATTTGTATCGATCAGCAAAACAAACGATTTAAATGGTAAAAAAAATTCACGTACCAATTAGCATTTGCATTGGTTATCACTAATAACCGATTCAAATAACCATTTGAATCGTTTATTAGGAATAACCGATTCAAAAGCTAATAAGCATTTGGATTGGTTATTCCTAATAACTGATTCAAATAACCAATTGAATCATTTATTAGTGATAACCGATGCAAAAAACGTTGTTAAAGACAACCTTCAATTCATTATCCTTACGCGATTTTGAAAAAAAAAACTCCAAACCCTTCTTCGTCGTGCTTATTGTGTTCCTTCGCCGTTGTCATTGCCCAAATCATTGCCGTCTTCCGCCTCATTGTCGCCGTCGTCCACTTCGCCTTGCCGTTGCCTAGCCTCGCCCTCGGCGTTGCCTCCCCACGGTGTCGTCCACTTCGCTATCGTCCACGCCGTCGTCCACTTCAGACTTGCCATTGTATGTTTGTGTTGTATTGTATAGTACTAGTTTTATGTTAGAAGAATGTAGTCTATTTATTGTTTGACTATTAGTTTGGGTGTTATATTTTAGTTTGTAACTGTTCATATTTTTTAGATGAATAAGTGATGGAAGCTAATGTTTACTTTTTGGTTTCATTTATTTAGTTTAATTTAGTTTTGTGAATATATTTATGTTGTTGGGTTGTGTATGTATGTTGTTGTTGTGTTTATGGGTTGAATTGTTGTTGTTAATTCTGTAAATTTGGCACAGAATTCCGTGCAAAATTGAAATTCTAGTGAATTGTAAGCAAACGAAGAAATCTGTAAAAAAATTATTAGCTAATGCATCTTTCCCATTTTTGGGAAGGAGCATTTGCTAGTAACTGATTCAAAAATTATTAGCTAGTAATCGATTCAAATGCCCCTTCCTAGAAGAAATGTTTTAAACCGGACCGGACGTCGAACCGGATAAGCTACTGGGTCAAAAGTCAACCGGTTGAATCGGGTTGACTCGGGTCAACGACCCATGACTTGGTATATAACATTCATATTTATGTTTAGATAATAAAAAATTAAATAATACAATGTTTTGTGGATTATTTTTAAAGATAATAAAATAGTATCACATAACTTAAATACTTATTATTTCTAAATAATCCAAAGCACGTACTCCCTCCGTCTAACTTTAATCTTCTCATTTGAACCAGACACACATATTAAGGAAAGATGTAAATGTTACGGAGTATTTTTAATGTTAAATAAAATACTTAATATTGTGTTTTTTTCTTCTCCATGTTATTTTCAATGATATTGTTCATATACTCTTTCACACTTCCCATGTTTTATAATATATAATTAGTATATATTTCTTCATTTTATAGATGATAATATTTGTTTAGATGTAAATTATTCATTATTATTTAATACAAAAAATAATATTTATTTTTTACTTTGAAATATTTTAAAAGATTTTAAAATAACTACACAACACAAACATGTTCTTTCTTACAAATAATTAGAAATTTTTTAAATTTTTTCAACACAAATAAGAAACACTATGTATACTATTCTGCATTATTTAGGTAAAAGTACTTAGTAGCTTAGGTGGTTAGAGTCTTTGAGAGGTGTATGGTCAGGTTTAGAGTTCAATTCCTATCTCAATTATTTTATTTTAGACAAAAAAAATTGGACCCAACCCGCGGGTCGACCCGGTCCACCGGTTCTGCCGGGTTTACTGGGTTTGGACGGGTCAATCCGTTTCCGGTTTTAACAAATGAACCGGACCGGAGTGCTCACCGGTTCGCGGTCCGAACGGTTGGACCGGCCGGTCCGGTCCGGTTCTAATAACATTGCCTAGAAGTGGCGCCAATTCTGAGAAATCAATTCAAATGCTCCTTCTCAGAATTGGCGCCCCTTCTAGGAAGGGGCATTTGAATTGGTTAAACAACCGATGCAAAAAGTTACCTCATTATTTGCATCGCCAGCTTTTGAAGTGGTTTACAACCGATTTAAAAAGGTAAAAATAACTGATTCAAAACGTCTTTTTGTAATAGTGTCATAGAATTAACATTTTTTTTTACAAAATGTGTATGGATATTCTTTTCTTTTGAAGTCTGTTTAGACCGGAAAACCAACGGCTGAGTTCTACATTCATTTGCCTAATTAGGACACCTACGATGCTCTATTCGCAAAATTCATAATTCCTACCCCTAACCTTCATGGTAAATCCCCCACTCGATCCCGATCCTAACTTATCCCTCAAACCACATCAATTACGGGGTGCAAATTTAGTTGATTTGACTCCGAAATCAACTAAATTTACACCTCTTAATTGACGTGGTTGAAGGGATGAGTTGGAGTCGGGATCCTACCCACTCTTATTGAGCGGATGTAGAACCGAGTCGGAAAACTAATAGACCAAAGTGGAAGAAAATTTGGTAACAAGCTACTATACATTCCTAGCCATTCTTGAATAGCAAAACTAAGTTTTGCCATAATTATGATTTATGCATGACCCGTTATAGACACGTTTAAGGAACTCAACTGCCTCGGGCGTGAAAAAACCAAAGGTATAAAAACATACTCCCTCCGTTTCTCAAAACGGTTCCTGTTTTGACTTTGGGGAAAAATAAGGAAAGTGTAATTTTAGTTGACTTTCTAATTTTGCTCCTGATGTGATGAGTAAAAAGTAAGATGTGATAGGTAGGGTATGAAAAAGTATGTGTAAAAGTGGTTTTTTAATAGAAAAAGGAAGTGTTTTAAAAAAAACAAAAAAAAAATGAAAGAGGAAGGGTTTTAAGAAACGGAGGGAGTATGATCTAAATACAGTTCGTTGTCTAGATACGCTTTCTCATGATTGATCACTTTGCATGAAGCCAATGGTGGATCAGGAGAGTTGGAGCATAAACTTAAGTCTTGATAGTTGACACAAAGTACAGTATCAAAAAATTACAAATACACGTTTTACAATACATGAAATTATACATAACAATTCTAGTATGACGAACCATAAAGCATGAAAAAAAATTACAACTTTCCTCTTCGAGTTTTCATCTTCTGAAACTAATATATTACAATTTCATTTATAAATATTTCAAGCATGTCTTTTCCTAGATCGACACCATCAACCACTCAATATTTTCTAAAACAATTCAGATTAACTTATTATGTATAATTTCATGGATCAGCCACTCCTAGACTTTCCCAATTTGTTTTGAAGGAAAGTTTTGGTCAAGAGGTTGAAAAGACTCTTTCAACAAATATGCACAGCTTGTTTTATCTCTTTGATTAGAATGACACTAACCTTTAACCTTTCGGTGGGACCAAAGGGAAAATCATTTAAATCGATTCTTTTTTGCATTGCCTAGCATTCAGATAAATGGAGAGACATATTTTCATTTGAAGGTCCACAATCACATTTATTTTTTTGTGAAGATGAAAATTTTCTTCTAAAAATTTTCTCCATAATGTATTTGTCAAATTAATATTAATATAATTTAAACTAATATGTTCATGGGTGGCCTAGAGGATGTGCAAAGTGGCCAACTGCACAGGCACTCTAAAATTTTAGGATCTCATATTTTTAAATTTACCACATAAATATTCTAAAATAATAAAATAGGGCCCAAAATGTAAATGTTGGACCAGGCCAATTTCAATTTTTCATTTTTCGAGGCCGGCCCGAATAGGTTATAGGCTCAGTAAATTTATATTTGAAAACATTCTCCATCGATTCAAATAAATTAATAATCACGTTTGTCAAATTAAAATATAATGACCTCAATTAATCAAAACATTAACAACATATACTTAAACAGATTAACCCTAAAATAATTTACACTTAATATAAACAACTAATTTTAAACAACTAATTTTAAGATTTGTGTAATAAAACACACTTTATTAATAATTCAAAACAAAAATTAAGAAATAAAGTTTAGTAATTAAGAAATTAAAGACTTGTTAAAGATGATAACTGGACTAACTAACCGACTCGGTAGAATGATTCCGATGAACGAATGAAGAGATGAAGGAAGTTGCCGCAGTGTTGCTTGTGACGCAGGGGCAAGATGGTTCCGCTCGTTGCTACAAACAGATGAAAGGTACAATTCTTTTTTTACAAGTAACTTTTATGGAGGATGTGCGAATATTAAAGTTGTGAAAAGGTTAAATGAAAAAAGTAAATGAACTTAACAAAGTATGAGCTAGACAATTAGGGTCATCCCAAATTTTAGATGGGGCTTGGCCCAATTTTTAGGAAATTTAATTTTTTAACACCATAAGTTAGTAGGGAGCATTTGCCCCCAATTACTTAAAGTACGTCAGGAGCGCATAAAGCTACTTTTAGCGCAACGTAACCTAACGTTAAAACACTAGTCTCCAAACCCATAAGAGCTGAGGGAAAACACGTGCTTTTCTTCGACCCATCAATCACAAAAATATATAAATTTTTTGGTTTCTTTCACTCATGACCTGTAACCGATTCTCATATCAAATACCGGTTATTTTGCTTAGTAAAAGCCGAGTTGGCTTCCAAGCCAACTCAACACTTTCTTTTTATTTTTCTTTTTCTTCTTCTTCATCTCATAATCTTTCCTTTTTTTCGTTTTTCTCATTTTCCTTCATCTTCGTGACGTCAATTTTGAGCTTTGCAATACATATGGACAACAAATTAGTATTCAGGAATTCGATTCTAACTCTGGGGATGGCGAATCGCCCACCCTTCATGCCAAGCTGCGTGTAACTATTGTTATCACATGTTACTTACCTACCACTCGAACTTGCTTCTCTATGGGCACAATCACCCCTAGGGACACCCATAAGGAAGTTTATTACATGCATTTGCATATGGCCAAAATTCAATAGGTCCCGTTTTTTTGGTATATTTTCTTTGTTCCACAATAAAATTTACGTTTAAGTTTTTTAAGAATTTAAAATAGTTGTTAGAGAATGTTCAAAAGTAAAAAAATATGATTAGATTTGATTTGGAAGCGTGATAAAATATTATTCCATATGAGATACTGTTAAAGAATCTCACATCGAAACTTGATGAGAAAATAAATTGGTATATAAGTTCTTAAGTTAACTAAGTAATTGATTTGATTTAATCTTTTAATGTGGTCCAATCAAAATGTCTTATAGCCCAATCTAGTTATCAATCTCTACTCAATCCTAAACTCTATCATGATCTCGGAACCAGTTTTAGCCCACCTCGCCTTTCAAGGTAACCGTCTAGATGTTCATTCTTAACGACCCTAATATTTAGACCAACTATCCATGTGGAATGCATGCATACTAGCGGCCTGTAACATGTTTAACCTGATTGCTCGTCTGAAAACCCATACCCAACATCTCGTGGTCCTTTAGTTGTCAGAGCTAAAAAATGTTAGAGGGAATAAAATTCATTTGCAAGTGGTTAACCGGTTAGGTTCAAAATGATCATGTTGTTCACTTGAGGGAGAGTGTTAAAGAATCTCACATCGTAGCTTGATGAGAAAACATATCGGTATATAAGCTCTTGAGTTGAACTAAATAATCGACTGAATTCAATTTTTTAATGTGGTTCAGTCCAAGTGTCTTATAGTCCAAACCAGTTATCTCTACCCAATCCTAAATTTTATCAGATACATATTCTTTTCTTTTGAACAATGCATAAACTTTGTATTACAATCTCATTCTAAATATTTTCTCAGTCCGGGAAATATATTCTCATATTTATCTTTTTATAATTTTTAACGATACTTGAAAAGGTGGAACTTCTATTTTGATATTTTTTATGTTTTATTTTTATTTAAGATTATTTCTTCATTATATATCCTCCGCCTATGAGTATGAAAGCTCTCTTTTTTAGTTTTTCATCGAACATGAGATTTTTCTGTCTCAATTTTCTACCATTTTCTTTATTTTCTTCCATTTTTCCTTCAAATAAAGAGGGCATTAGAATCATTGGAATTCCAAAATTCTCGAGATGGGGGGACAAAAGAATCCCAAAAGAATAGCCAATTTACATTTTTTAATGCTCCATGTCTCCATACTAGATAAATTAATGTATTTCACACTCTTATCATTTTAAAAAATTTTCTTGATTTAAAATTTTTGGGTCAAATTTTGATACTCTTTAATCTTTCCAGGATGGAAGTAATTACTCATTTTTTAAATAAAAGCAGATATACTAAATCAACGAGACTAACATAATTCTCATTTGTTAGTTAAGTGTACTGATTCATTACAATTCACAAATATACTTAAAAACTCAAACAAACACTAATTTTAGAGTCATTGAAACTAAAAACTCAACTCTTGTCACAAGAATTCAAAACTTTAGACTCGTTGAGACTCAAAACACACTAACAGAAAACCCCCAAAATGATGACTTCAATCACAATCTGGTATTTTCTTGGAATGGTGATGAAAAAAGCCTCAATGGGGTCCGAGCTATCTGGTTCCACAGAAGAGGAACAATTAGCCGTTGAGCCATATCCAAGACCACTTGCCGACACGAAAGCAAATAAAACGCAAAATAAATGAGATAATTAACAGTGCCAGTTCTTCATCTACCCCACTCAAATCGTTAAACTTCACGCCTGCAACATCCCAAACTTCATCTCCAAGCCTTCCGATCTTTCTTCCTCGCTGGCACAAAACAAAAAACAAAAGAAAGGGCTTTCTCCTTTCCCCAAATCAATCAAACCCCAGTTTTGGTCTTGCGCTATGCCATAGTTTCTGCAGTGGATTTGGCTTCAGAGTTCCTCCCGAATCTCCTCGACTTCTCTTCTTCTTTGAAGCGATTCCAATCCCTGCCTCTTTTCGCAGCCATCTGAAAAAGAACAGTCTACAGTAACTTTCAAAGAAAAGTAAGAATCTTTCTCTCTCTCTCTCTCTCTCTCTCTCTCTCTCTCAATTTCTCTATCTTTGAATTTGGGGGTTTTCTCCCATTGTGTATGTGTATGCAATTGGTGCTGAAGTTCTCAAGTTGTGAGCTTTTTGGATTGAACTGAAAGCCCATCCAGGCAAAGTTTGGGATTTTCATTTTTTCAGTTGGAAGTTCTTTTTTTTTCTTCTCGATTTTTGTCTTTAGTGAATTAGTTGTCGTTTATGCTTGAATTTAAGTGTTTGGAAACACACCCATTACTCTATGATTGTGGACAATTGCTTTTCGGACTTGTTTGTTCTTTTTTGATTTTTTTTCCGGTTGTTAATTTGAATATGATATGGTGTTGGTGTTTGCTTTATAATGACTTATTAAGTCGGAGTAGTAACTCTGGGTTAATTCTAGGAACTGCTGTAAATTTCTGTTCAATTAAATAACCAATTTGTTTACAAATTCAGCATTGTCACTGACTCTTGGTGTGTTAACTGTTATCCAAAATTAAAAATCACCATTTTGTTCATTTGATGGGTTTCAGTTTTAAACTGGGAATTCCCATTAAAGCACTTTATATTAATATGGAGTACACAAGAAGGAGATATTTGTGTTTCAAGTTTTAATAAAATGGTCTGTTTCAGAACATGGGTATAATGAAATTACTACCTTTTATTCAGGGGCTAGATGGCAGATCTGGGAGATATAGGGCTTGCAGCTGCAATTAATATTGTCACAGCATTAGTTTTTCTGGTGGCATTTGCAATTTTAAGGCTTCAGCCGTTCAACGACCGAGTGTATTTCCCAAAATGGTATCTTAAAGGTTTGAGAAACAGCCCTTCACACTCCGGGGCATTTGTGAAAAGAATTGTTAATTTGGATTGGAGATCATATGTGAGGTTTCTGAACTGGATACCGGATGCACTTAAGATGCCCGAACCAGAGCTCATTGATCATGCTGGGCTTGACTCTGCTGCATATTTGAGGATTTACTTACTCGGGTATGCCCTTGGACTTAAAGTTAGCAACTTAATGACTTCCTATACTTTGGCGAGACACCTATGCATGATTAACATGCTTTCTTTTCGACCATCTTTCATGATGTTTCAAACTCATCAATCATCATTTCATGCAAATTTCCATTTTGCTTCCTTTATTTACATTTTTTACGTGCAGGCTGAAGATCTTTGTTCCTATAGCATTTCTTGCATGGTCTGTCCTAGTACCTGTTAACTGGACCAATCACACCTTGAGAGACTCCAACTTAACCTATAATGAAATTGATAAGCTTTCTATTTCAAATATTCCAGAAAGATCACCCAGGTCTGGTTTCTTTCTTGTGCTCCTTCATTTGTTCAAAGATTTGTTACTTTTGTTGCATATTTTGTTTTATTATTGAATAATGCTTTGCCCCTTATAAAAGTATGAACTACAAGTATAAACGTTAATAATACAGAGTATTATATGAGTATGTATCATTAAATCTGAATGTGCACTCACATATATCTCATCACTAAATATCTTTGATTCAATTTCAGTTTTTTATTACCGGAGTATTAGTTTCGTGAAGTGATAACCAAAAAAGGTGTAATGCAGGTTTTGGACTCATATTGTGATGGCCTATGCCTTTACATTTTGGACATGCTATGTCTTGCGGGCTGAGTATGCAAAAGTTGCTGAGTTGCGTCTTCACTTTCTTGCTTCCGAAAAGCGGCGACCAGATCAATTTACAGTAAGGAAAAATGTTTTGTGCCTGTTATTATGTCTAGTCTTTATAAATCATGATGTATTTCTAATTCTATATACACACATTGCTTGTTAACTTGCCTCTCTATTGTTGACAGGTCCTTGTTCGGAATGTTCCTTCCGATCCGGATGAATCATACAGTCAAAGTGTAGAGCATTTCTTTCTTGTTAACCATCAAGATTATCTAACCAATCAGGTTCATCACTCTACATCTTGATTTACAATTTGCAATTACCGGCATTGAAAACACATGTTTAGACAATCTCTTTGGAATTTTTAGTTGCACAAATTCAGCTTGGCTTTTACTAGTCACCATTTTCTTACTAGAAGATGAATGCAGGTTGTATGCAATGCAAACAAACTTGCCAAATTGGTCGAGGAGAGGAAGAGTAAGAAAAATTGGCTTGATTACTACCAGTTAAAGTATTCTAGGAGCAGTCGGTCACAACGCCCCACGATGAAGGTATGGTTCTACCTTTGGCCTTCAAGAATTTAAATAAAATAGCCCATATGACATGCTGAGGGGTATCATTATTGGTTTTGTTCTTCAATGCTCTTCGGGAATTGTAATATCAAATCTTGTACGACTCACTCCTTCCTTTACTTATTTGCAGACTGGTTTTCTTGGCTGCTGGGGAAGTAAAGTGGATGCTATAGACCATCAAACAGCTGAGATTGATCGGTTATCAAAAGAAGTAATTACTAGTGCTTTAGATCTCTCATATTTGTGTACCGTTATAATTTTAGCAGAATTGTTTTCCTCATGGTATCCAAATTTTTCGGGGAATATTGGGAAAATAAAATAGGCTTAATAGGGGAAAGTTGGAAAGGGGGGAAATTAAAGATAGTCTTGTACTCAATAAATTTATTTTGGATACTAGTTCAAATTCATTTTCTTACGAGTACTATTTTTCTATTATAGTTTGACTAGGAAATCTAAATAAATTTAGAATTTTAAAACAACATTATTCATGATTCTTTTTCTTTGCATTTTCAAAGTAGAATCAAAACATACAAAAATAACTTTCCTTGGCATTTTGCATTTTGTATTTTTGAGGGATCCAAACATACCTTTTGGAACCTAAAAAGTGATATGGAAAGAAAAATTTGAGGGGAATCAGAAAGGAATGAAAATTTGAAGGAAAAGAGGCTCAATTGCTCAACGTCAATAAATCAGTTTTAGATTTTTTTCAAACACACTTTGTTCATATATTTCTAATAAGGATATACAAAGTAAGAAATTGTAACACATGATAGGTTGAATTTTAAAAAGTTCTTTTCAAATTTGATTTCCATTTATATTTTTCAAGGTTAAAACAAACAAATGAAAATAACCTCCCTTCAGTCCCTTGGCATTCTTTCCCTCATTCTACCATTTTCTATGCTCCAAACATAGCGTTTAAGAATCATTGGATTGATTTTCTACTGATCTTTATCTGCCTTTTACTTTTCATCCACCTTTGTTAATTGGATGATTTGAGTAAAATAATTTCTACCCACCATTTAAAAGATTTATCCACTAACTGTAGATTGCTAAAGAGAGAGAAAGGGTGAAAAATGATCCAAAAGCCCTCATGCCAGCAGCATTTGTCTCCTTCAGATCTCGGTGGTCCGCTGCGGTTTGTGCACAAACACAACAGACTCGAAACCCCACTTTGTGGTTGACAGAGTGGGCCCCAGAACCGCGTGATGTATACTGGCAAAACCTGGCAATTCCATATGTTTCGTTGACAATTAGGAAGCTCATCATCGGTGTTGCCTTCTTTTTCCTCACTTTCTTTTTCATGATTCCTGTTGCATCTGTCCAAGGACTTGCCAATATTGAAGGTATCCGAAAAAGGGCACCCTTTTTGAAGGTTATCATTGACATGTAAGTATATAGGTCGCTAAGTGATGGCATTTTTATTAACCGTTTTAGTTTTATGGTTCTCTATTCTTGTGTGGTTAATTGTAAATTTTAGTGTCTAAGGGTGTGTTTGGATGGATGGGCTTGGATTGGAAGGATTTAGAAGGCTTGTTATTCTTGATAATAAATACTTTGAAGTTTGAACAATCTTGAAAAATTCATGCCAATACTCCAGATAACTCCCACAAAATTGATATTTTACACGAATGCTCCGAGGTTACAAAATGATCACAGGTGCTTCTAGAATTTATATAATTTTACAACAATACTCCAATATTTCAACAAGATCACCGGCACTCATGAAAGGAGGAATTCATGTAACATGAAAATCTTGATGGAGTATTATTATAAAAATATTTAAATTCTAGAAGAAATAGTGATCATTTTACAATCTTGCAGTATCCGTGGAAAATCTCATATTTCTGGGATTATTGACATGAGTTTTTGCCCTAGAAAATGGCAAAACTGTTCTGGTATCTTGTTGTGTTTTTATACTGCTATAACAAGAATCAGTGTGCCAAACTGGTCTCTCTAAATGGATAAAGTGACCATTTTTCTTCCTATCTCTGGTACTTATTACAGTTCTTGTTACCATGCAGACCCTTTGTCAAATCATTTATCCAGGGGTTTCTGCCCGGTCTGGCTTTGAAGATTTTTCTCATCCTACTGCCTACCATACTGATGCTGATGTCCAAATTTGAAGGCTTTCTCAGTTTATCATCTTTGGAGCGAAGAGCTGCTTCCAGATATTATATTTTCAACTTTGTGAATGTCTTCTTTGCAAGCATAATCGCAGGAGCTGCCTTTGAGCAATTGAACACCTTCATCCATCAGTCAGCCAACAAGTAATGTTATTTCATTATTATTATGCAAAGCTTTATTTTGTTGGCTGTATTCAGCAGTATTGATTCTTTATCGTCAAAAAATTCATGCCAAATTGCCAATACTTCCAGAAATTTTAGTTTTTCAAGAATAGTCTAAAGATTACATGATTATCACTAGCTCTCCTAGAAATTTAATATATTTTGAAATAAAACTCCAAAAGGATTTTTAGTTTACAGGGATCCCCTATTCTTTTAGGCATATGTGTGCTCAATATGCTATTTTGGAGTTATATTGTAAAAATATTGAATTTCTTGGAGCGCTGCTGGATAATTATAGTTTTGAAGTATTCTTGTAAAATCCTCAAATTTCTTTGTGTGTGTATGCATGAATTTTTCTTTTTTTTCTTTCTAAATTTCAGCATCAGTAGAAAGGGAAACACTTATAGATACTTAAGAGTGATTCTTGGATGAGTTATGAATTGGAATACTTGAAGGATGTGTTTGCCTCAAGTAAAACTCGGATAAGAACGGGAAATATGGAAAAAGCCAAGAAAATTCAGAGAGGAATGAAATAATACTTTCAAATATTATTTTTCCTAAGGTTCTGTTTGGCATCCATGTGCAGAATACCGGAAACTATTGGAGCAGCAATCCCAATGAAAGCAACTTTCTTCATAACCTATATAATGGTGGACGGATGGGCTGGAACTGCTGGGGAGATCTTGAGGCTGAAACCACTCATAATCTTCCATCTTAAGAATTTTTTCCTAGTTAAGACTGAAAAGGACAGGGAGGAGGCAATGGACCCCGGAAGCATTGGCTTCAATACGGGCGAACCCCAAATACAGTTATACTTCTTGTTAGGCCTCGTTTATGCCGTCGTCACCCCATTACTTCTTCCCTTTATACTGGTTTTCTTTAGTCTGGCATATGTCGTATATCGACATCAGGTATCTTTTTTTTTTCTTTTCATGACATTATTGTGATAAAAACACAGTTTTGGTTTAGATTTTCTGTTCTTTACACAAAATTTTTGGATCTTTAACAGATCATCAATGTGTACAACCAAGAGTATGAAAGTGGAGCTGCATTCTGGCCGGATGTCCATGGGCGAATCATATTTGCTTTGGTCTTCTCTCAGATCTCTACATTGGGACTGCTGAGCACAAAACACGCTGCCACGTCAGCACCCTTCCTACTCGCGCTTCCTATATTAACCATCTCCTTTCATTTGTTCTGCAAGGGCCGCTACGAACCAGCTTTCACCAAATATCCACTTCAGGTATGAAACATTCTAAACAGGCTTCAGTGAGCTTCATGGGGGGAGTGAAGGGTATGTTTGGATCTTGGAAAAAGTAAAATGTCAAGAAAAAAATAAAAACTAGATTTTTTTACCATGGTTCTTCCAGACACCCGGATTGGGTGTCATAATATGACACTACTCAATTGGTCTCGGGACCGGGTCCTAGCCCTAACCCATTCTTGGGCACAATGGAGCACCATATGTCCTCCAAATGAATAGTTTGGTGTCATATTATGACACTAGTATAAGTATGACATTCCTCTTTTTTTGGGGTTTCAGGAAGCAAAAAGGAAAGACACCCTAGAGAGAGCGACCGAGCCTGCCCTGAACCTAAAAGCATACCTTCAAGATGCTTACGTGCACCCGATTTTCAAAGAAGGAGATGACGAGGACGACGAGGATGACGGTGGGAACCTCGAGAAGTTGGAGCACGACGGCGGGGTTGTGGTCCCCACGAAACGAAACTCCCGGAGAAGCACGCCTGCTGCAAGCAAAGTCAGTGGCGGATCCTCCCCATCGATCCCGGACGCGATTTTGGAAAAAGAACCCTGAGAAATTGATTGATTGATTGGTTGAGTCTTTGTGTTTGGTGGTCAGTTTCTAGTGTGATGAGTCTTTGTTTTAGGAGTTTGATGAAAAGAAGATGAAATGTAAATTATGGTCTTCCATTATGGTGGCTGAAAGCCCCCCCCCCCCTCCCCCCCTCCCTTGTACAGACTGTTATCTCAAGAAGAATCTTAGTTTTCTGTAGTTTATGGCATTGGGATATGCACATTGGTTAATATTGTGTGGTTGGAATTTGTTTATATGAGCGAAGTTATGTCAGCCAAACGTGTAAATTTATTTAATTTTTGTCAAATTCAAATATGTAATTTATGTCAAATTCAAAATTGAGATTCAAACTTAAGTTTTGAAGACTTTGTTTGGTAGAGAGAAATACGGATGGAAAGAAAATCAAGGATGAAAATTAAAGGGATTAATGAATATATCTTATGTTTGGGGAGGTGAATGAAAATAAAGGATGACGAAAAATACTCCTTATTTTTCTTCATTACTTTGACTCTTAAAATGAGACGAAAGTTAAATAGTACTCAATCTGTCATTAAATATTTGAAATATTTGTATTATCGAAGTAAAATATTAATTTTTTTAATTTATTTTATTTACGTATTGGTATAGAAATAAAAAATAAAATTTACATATAAAAAAACTATTCCCTCCGTCCGGAAATATTCTTCCCATTTGATTTTTCTTGGTCAAAGTTTATAAATTTTGACTATGATATATGGAAAAAATACATTGTATTACGACATAATTTTAATATGAATATATATTTCTTTTGATATATAGTTTTCAAATATCAAATTTTTACAAAATATATCTATGCATAAATAAAGATATTAGTGGTCAAAGTGCAATTTTGGAGACCGTAAAAAGTCAAATGTGAAAAAAACTTCTAGACGAAGGGAGTACATGAAAAGTTCTTCGAAATAAGAGGTGTCAAGAATATTTTATTTTATTAAATAACCAATGAAAACGTAAAAATAAACAAAAGTTTTCACGACTGCTGAAAAAATAAACGTTGCAAATAATTTGGGACGAAGGGAGAAGGTAAAATAAATTTATTTCTTTTCCATCTTAAAATATCAAAGCAAAATTATTTTCTTTCTTCTATAACATTATTCAAATAAAACATTGAAACGAGAAAAGAGAATATAATTTTACTTTCTTTCTTCTATAGAATTATCCAAATATGGGGTAAATAAAATATTACTCCGTAGAAGTTATTCTAAATAGGATTAAAACATAAAGAAAAATATCAAAATAGGACTTTAATTTTATAATTAAATGAATTTGAACTTTTATTTCGAGATTAAAAACATGATAATACTATTTTGATATATTTTCAATATTTTATTTCTAGTTTAGTCTTTTTCACATAAAAGATAAGATTACTTAAAATGAAAAAATAAATAAATAAATAATTAAATATATCAAGACAATCCAAAGGGATAATTCTGTTGGGACACTTGTTTTCCAAACAGTCCATATTCTCTCTCCTGCCCGGTGCCCCCGTTATCTTCGCCCATTCATTCATTCACCACTCAGTTAACTGCTCTGCTCTGCTCTGCGAAGTGGAAAGGAGCACAAATGAACATCCAAATCCAAACCCACTCGCGCCTCCACTACTTGCTTCCGCAGCCGCAGTCTCCGTCGCCTGCGCATCCGCTTTGCCGCCGCAGCGAGCTGCTTTTCTCCGCCCAATTTGTCCCCCGTCTCCGCCCCAGACTCTCCTGCTGCGTCGGCGAATTGGAGGGAGAGAACAAGGAGTATCGGCGCCATCAAGCGAGGAGAGCATACCCCTTCCACGAAATCGAACCCAAGTGGCAGAAATTCTGGGAGGAGAAGAAAACTTTCCGAACCCCTGATGAAATAGACACTTCTAAACCCAAGTATTATGTTCTCGACATGTTCCCCTACCCCAGGTCAGTTAAGTTCTTTGTTTTTACTGAAATTGATTGGAAATTAGCCAATGGTGCTTAGCATTTTAGCTGGATACTGTTATATATTTTAGTGTAATTGGAAAAACTATTTGACCCATGGTCATTATAATCATCAAAGAAAGTTTGGTGGTGCGGAGTGCATACTTCGTTGAGTTTGTTAGGATAAAAGTCCCGTCTTAACAGGGTTCAAAGGGAGCAGCGCCCTCGGGCAGGGTTCAAGGAAAATTTTCGGAAAAGGATAACATCGTTTCTCAAACTCGCGCAAAGGGACGCATGTTTTAGATGGGAGACACGACCGCAGCCTTTCTTCCATCCCACGGCTCTATAAATTCTGCATATCTTTGGTTGCAAAAGCCGAGTTCAAAATTCATATCAATCCATACCTGTTTTTGTCAAATTTGAGTTTTATCCGATTGATTTTTGGATTGAACAACCCAAATAATCAGTCTGAAAGTGCTACACGACTCTCCAATCGATCCGCATTATCTTCGTTTCCCCCCAACAGATACTATGTTTGATTTACACATAGGAGAATGTTAAACACACTAAAATGTTACCATATCTGAGTATATTTCTTATTTTCATGATTGATCATTTGTTAAAATACTATACTCAAGTCGCCTCCGGTTTTATAGAACTGAATATATTTCGTTCTTTAATTCTATACCAATTTTTAAATGAATTGAATGTAATTCATTTAAAAATTGAATGCAACTTATACACCAAAAGTTGTACCCCAAATTGTACACAACAGGTGTGCGCTTTGTGTTAGTGTAATGATTCACACTAGCACAAAATGTTAATGCAATTTTTTTATCACACTAGCATTTTGTGCCCGTATGAACCATCAAAATGTTGGTACATAGTTTTAGTGTACAATTTGGGGTACACTCCTTGGTGTACCCCTAGCATGATTGATATAAGTATATAAATTTAGTCAAACATTCTATGAAACAGAGGAAGTATGAAGTACTCCCTTCATATGGAATTTTTTTTCTCGTTCTAGTTTAGTTATTTTTAATTCAATTTACTTTATTATAGTTGTAAAATCCAAAAATAAATTATATATATTAAAAAACTACATAAAAAGATCTACAAAACAAGATGTGGCATGAGTATATTATACTACATATTATGAAATGAGTTGTGAAAATAAGGAAATAGTGTAGATAAAGTTTGACCGTGTGAATAAGTGCACGGGAAGAAAATTTCTAGACGGAGGGAGTATATTTTAGCATGGTCTGACCCAACAATCTAATAGGTGTGACCCGATCAATCTTAAAGTATTAGAGCAGGTTTTGACTCACTTTGTTTGTCCGTTTTGCACGATGCCCATGGTGTGACCCGATCAATCCTAAAGTATTAGAGCAGGTTTTGACTCACTTTGTTTGTCCATTTTGCACGATGCCTACATAACCTGGTTTCTGTCTGAAAGTGTAGTCTTGGCAGATCATAGTTCTTTAGATTTTGTCCACTTGAAGTGGGTGTTGGAGTCCACACTGAAATGCTAAAAGAAAAGATTAAAGTTTTGGTATGAACTAGTTAACTGATTGAATTTTTATCTTTTGGCGCAGTATGACCCAAATGCCGTAATGAGTATGACCAATCAAGTGATCCCAACCTAATGATATAGACATTACAGAGTTTAATTTTCTGCTCTCTTTGGTGATTTTGCCTTTTCTAGTTTCAAATTTAGAGCTTCTCTATAGTTGGTGTATTGACCTCTCGTTCGTCATTTTTTGCAGTGGTTCCGGATTGCATGTCGGGCATCCTCTTGGATACACTGCTACAGATATCCTTGCTAGATTTAAACGCATGCAAGGTTACAATGTTTTGCATCCAATGGGATGGGATGCCTTTGGCTTACCTGCAGAGCAGTATGCAATAGAGGTTGTTTATTCATCCTTTATCACAAATCAATTTTGTTGGCTCCATATTGTTATGAATCTTTATGATTTATTTTTCCTTTTGACTTACAGACAGGTACACACCCCAGAATTACAACAATGAAAAATATAAACCGCTTCCGATCACAGGTAACCTTCCTGAATTTGTTTTTAGTGCCATCTTATTATTCTTATGTGCTTTTCTTTTATACCTTAGTTGTATTTAAATTTTAAGCACTGCAATTACTAACTATAGACGTAGTGCTTCATACCTGACTTTATTTTATATAGTTATATTGCATCAATGGTGTCTCTCTGGCATGGAATCTTGCATTTAACTAACATGGTGAATACTGACAACTAAAAAGATCTTTCAGCTCTCAAAATTTTAGGCTTTGTATATGATTATATCTATAATGATATTGCTCAGACTAATGATGTGTTATGGTACGTCTCTTAACACAAAATATTTCTTATTAACTTGGCGAATTGAACTTTTTAGTTAGTTGATTTTCTTTCATTTGAAATGATCCCATAGCTCAAACCATACAGATTCTCATATAATTATATCTACAAGACTACAATGATGATGTTCTGTTCAGTCTATTACGGAATCTTAAATCTAATCAAGGGGTGAATTGAAATTTTTAATTTGTTGGCTGACATTTAAAATAATCGTTCAGCTCAAATCTTTTGGTTTCTCATATGACTGGGACCGTGAAATTTCTACGACTGAACCTGAATATTATAGATGGACACAGTGGATTTTTATTCAACTATTGAAACGAGGGCTAGCATACCAGGTATGGACTATGGAGTACTTTTAAAATGAAATATTATATTCTCTAAAAGAACAGGATCTAATAGTCTATACTTTTATTTTTAGGCCGAAGTTCCTGTAAATTGGTGTCCTGCCCTTGGAACTGTATTGGCAAATGAAGAGGTAGTTGATGGAGTAAGTGAACGTGGAGGGCATCCTGTCATTAGAAAGGTATGCTTTTGTTATACCTCTATCCGAAGACTCCTCAAGTTACAACTCTTAAAAGTCGTTGAATTGTATTTATGTTTTTAAAGTACTCTGTATATATGTACTGATTTGACTCCGTTCCGCACAAACACCCTCCCCAGACCTTAGTTTTGTGGGATTCAACTAGGTTGTTGTTGTATATGCATTAATTTGACCAAACGTATCATTTTTAACTCGTATTTAACTTATTTTTTTAAATGACATGAATAACTAGTTTCGTTTTATGAAATATGACTCTTTTCTTAGAACAAAAAACAACTATTTTCTTGGAACCAAAGAACTTCTGAAACATGACTCTTTTTTACTCTGTATTATTTTTGGGACTGCAGGAGTAATGAATTATGTTGATTCTGAATAACTTTATTTTCTCTCTCTCTCACACACACACAATTTCATTAATTTGCTTCTCGGATGCTTTCACAATTTTACATACATTGTTCCTTGCAGAGCAGCCTATGCGGCAATGGATGTTGAAGATTACTGCATATGCTGATCGCCTTCTTGAAGATTTAGACCACCTAGACTGGCCTGAAAGCATCAAGGAAATGCAGAGAAACTGGATAGGGAGATCAGAGGGAGCGGAGCTGGATTTTTGTATTTTAGATGGTGATGGTCAAAACAGAGACTTGAAAGTTACTGTATACACAACAAGACCTGATACTGTTTTTGGGGCAACGTAAGCAATTTTGCTCTTTAAAAAACTACTCTGTATTTACTTTCTGCTCTGCTCCTTTTGGCACAGCTTCACTTGGGGTTAATGCTCCTTTTTGTTGTGCAGCTATTTGGTCCTTGCACCTGAGCACAATCTAATGTCATCAATTGTGTCAGAAGGCCAAAAGTTCCATGTATGCTCAGCTTCCATCTAAGTTTGTTAGGTCCTGTTTGCATTGGTTTTCTGTTTTCAATTATAAAGGAGTATCTTTTTCTAAAACAAAACGTCCAATTTAGGCAACATGAAAAAGTGGTTTTCAATTTTCTGGTGGCTGTTTCTAAAGTCAACATAATTAGACGTATGAGTGATTTTAGTTTATTATATAAGTATATAACACATATCATTCGACTTTTAAAGTATTATAAAACTAAAAACTAGCAAGCACCTCGAATGGGGCTATGATCTGTAGTTTTCAGAGCTCGGTTTTTTGAGATGTAACCTCTTTTAAGCACAGGTGGAGCTGTACGTAGAACTTTCCTCAAGAAAGAGTGACCTTGAGAGAACTGATCTCCAAAAAGAAAAAACAGGTGTTTTTACGGGTTCCTTTGCAAGAAATCCAGCTAATGGGAAGGCTATTCCAATTTGGGTTGCTGACTATGTCTTAGGAAGGTTTGTTTGTTTTCTCATTGTTTCAAGGTTATGCCATTTTTAAACCTTTAGGAAGATCTTCTGCACATAACATTTACTTTGTCCTAAAAAGTCTTGTGTTTTCAAGGCGCCACTTTAAATTTGTCAAGGTGCAACTTTAAATTTTTGTAAGGAACAACTCTTGAATATAGTTCCTAATAACAATTAAAAATTTATTTGTAGTTTCAAAAAATTTAATGTAATTGATTATTAACATTTGTCGAGTTTTATTGTAAAAGTTTAAGTGGAGGAATACTCTGGGAGGGAGTATAACATTGTACAAAAAAAGATATAACACCTATACTTGTTCTTTACATTTTTTCTTTGAAAAATTACATTGCATTCAATAAGAACTAGCTTTGATTGAAATAGGACTCTTTTTTGGGGTCTATACTACGTTCCAGAATATGATAATTTTTTGGGACAGTAATTAATATACATCTGTATCCCCTAGAGTATATCATGCTGGCCGACTAAGCATCTATTGTCCCTTTCTAGACACCCTTTGCGTCCGTAAATTCTATTGAATCTAACTGTTATAATCTGTATTCCAGCTATGGAACTGGAGCAATAATGGCTGTGCCTGCTCATGATACACGTGACCACAAATTTGCACTAAAGCACAATATTCCAATTTCTTGGGTTGTCATGCCCTTTGATGATACTCTCAGAAATCTTGAGAAACCTTATACAGGAGATGGAAGAATGATCAATTCATCAAGTTCGTCAACAGGGTTTGACATCAATTATTTGTCTAGCAAACTAGCAGCATCCAAAGTCATTGAGTGGCTCGAAAAAAGTGGACATGGAAAGAAACAGGTTCTGTATTAGATCTTAATTTTTACACTACATGACCCTTAAACTTTAAGGGGTCCATTGAGTTTTGTCATCGAGATGAGTGTTTACTTTTGATCTTTCTGCAGATAAATTACAAACTAAGGGACTGGCTTTTTGCTAGACAACGTTATTGGGGAGAGCCTATTCCTGTTGTTTTTCTTGATGAAACCGGAGAATGTGTTCCAGTTCCCGAGACAGAGTTGCCTCTTGTCCTTCCTGAGCTCAATGATTTTACTCCCACCGGAATGGGTGATCCACCCCTTTCAAAAGCGCCATCTTGGGTATGTGTAGACTTGTTTCCTTTTCAATCTTTGGTGGATCTGTACTCCTGACCCTGATATTCTTTCCCCAAGTTTTGGGTGATGAGGTCAGATTAGGCAACCATTTAGACACTTAACCAAAAGCTGTTACTATTTTTTTTATTTTAGAAAATTAGCATCATTCCATAGATTAGGGAAGTTCTGGTTTCAATTGAAATATCGAGACAAATAAGTATTCTCAATTTGTCAGGGATATTTTAGCTCCCAACTTCTGCAGCTATAGGGTTGCAAAAGCTGTGCTTCTTGAAACGGAGGCATAGAGTTGTGATCTTGATGTCAGTTACTCAGACACGTCTGATTTTTTTTCCAGGTTAAAGCTTATGATCATTTGTCTGGGAAGCCTGCCAGACGTGAAACTAATACTATGCCACAATGGGCTGGTTCTTGCTGGTAACGGGTTTTCTAGAAGCTAATATTAACCTGGTTTGCTCTATTGTACCTACTTGATATTCTTTTCTTCTTCATTGACTCCCCAACATAGAATTCTGCCGATGTTTGGATTTAGGAAAATGGATGTGAAAAGAAAAAGACTAAGGAAAATGGTTTTGTAGATGCTACGTTTTGCCCTGGAGAAAATTCAATTTGTTTTTTAATCTTACACACAGATTTCTTTCTCAATTATTGAAGTATTTAAATAAAATGGTTTTGAACAAGTACCTAAACCTGATTTATTGAGTTTGAAGCATTTTTTCTCTCAGTTTCTTTAATTCTAACTTTCAACTCTATTTTCCTCCGCATTATCTTTCCCTACAATCCCTAGCATCTTTTGAATTCCAAACAGACCTTAAATATAGTGTGATGATAATATATTACAGTTAAAAAAAGAGATAAGAGCAATATCATCTAGGGAAGAGGTGGTTCAAATTGCATTGGAGCAACGTGACAAACTTTATTGTATACTCCCTCCGTCAAAAATTAAACTTTCCGCTTTGACTCGGCGCGCAAATTTAGGTGGAATGAAAATTGTGTTGACTTTTCCTTTATGCCCCTCATCTTTTCTACCCTGTACACCCCACTGGAGTCGTCTACCACAGCTGACGCCGACACTTCTGCACCGCCGCCGCCGCCGCTTCTGCACTGCCGCCGATGATGCTTTCGCATCCCCTCCGTCGAAAGCTCCCGACATCGCAGCGCCCAGCCGTCGCAGCCCCTAGCATCCTCTCGCCGTCACAACTTGCTTCTCTCGCCGTCACAAGCCCCCGTCTTCAAAGATCTATTTTTAGACTTCTCGTTAGGGAAGAAAATCAACATCCCACCATAGATCTATAAAAAATAAAAAAAATTGTCCCTCCAAATCTAGATCCGACGAAGATGCAACCAGATCTGAAAAAAAAATTCTTCTTCTAGTTGACGAAAGAAGAAGGAAGAAAAACAGAAAAAAAATGAAGAAGAAATAAGAAGAAGAAGACGGAAGAACAAAGAAGAAAAAAAAGAAGATGAAGAAGAAGAAAAAACAAGAAAAGAGGTGGCTGTATAGAGTCGGAATTGAGAGAGGAAGAAAAGAAAGAAAAAGAAGGAAAGAGGAGGAAGAGTGGGGAGGGTGGCTGACGAGGTGGGAAGGAAGAAAAAAGGAAAAAGAAAAAGAAATGGAATGGATGAGGGTAGTTTTGTCTTTTAACCATGTAAAACTTACTAAAAAAGGAAATGGGAAGATAATTTGTGGACGGATGAAAAAGGAAAGTGGGAAGATAATTTATGGACGGAGGGAGTATTAGATGTTTTATCTAAGCAAAAAGAACTAGCCCATACTTGTTTAGGTTGGAGTGTTGGATGACATGGTCTTTGTAAGTTGAATCACATAGACCAATATTTTAGCATATTCACAGGTTTGTATTGTATGCTGGGCAGAAAGCTATCTGGCTGTATTATTTTTCCTATTCATTGCAGGTACTATCTAAGATTTATAGACCCAAGAAATTCTGGTGCTTTGGTTGATAAGGAAAAAGAAAAGTGAGTTGCCGGTTTTGTCTAGGCATGCTGTAAATGAATTAGTGAGAGAGAGAGAGAGAGATGTGTGTGTGTGTGTTCGCGCACGCCATGTGTAGTATTGTTTCATTTTGGTGAGTTCTACTTCGTTATCTAAATCGTTAAGTATTTCGATGGGATCCTATGTGCAGGTATTGGAGCCCTGTTGATGTATATGTTGGTGGTGCAGAACATGCTGTTCTTCATTTACTTTATGCCAGGTTTTGGCACAAGGTATGAGCTATGAAGAATCAAAGTATACTTTCTGAAGGTCAATGCTTTATTTTAGCCTTTACAAAGTGTTGTATCTCAATGTGTTCGTTGTTGTAGGTTCTCTATGACATTGGTGTAGTCTCAACAACAGAACCCTTTAAATGTGTCATAAACCAGGGTATCATCCTGGGTGAAGTATGTATACATTCTCTTCCATGCAACTGTCTCATTTTCAAGGTCTAAGCATTAGTATTTAGTTGTTTATTCTCAAAATGAAACAATGTGTGTCACAGGTTCAATACATTGCATGCAAAGACTCCAATGGCAACTTCGTATCAGCAGAGTTAGTTGATGATTTGACTGAGTGTAATCAAGAGAGAATACCAGAAGAGAAGGTACTTTTTTTGCTTATACTTTTTCTATTCACCCATTTCATTTCTCAATTTTTTGGCAACTCTTTTTTTACGCTATCTCCATCCTTTTTTAACTGTATGTTTTGTTTTTGTGAGTCAAACTTTGACAAAAAAAATATACAAAAATATACAATGAATTTAGATATAAAATTTGCCCCATAATATTTCTATTGACAAATATTTTTATCATATTCTTTTGTATATTTTTCTTATATATTTGAGGAGATATTGTTGGTAAAAATCTTGACACAAAGCGAAATAGATTGTTAATATTGAATGGAGGGAGCAGTTGATTTTTTAGGGAAAAAAAATTAATTTTTGATGAGACAGGTCATAAAATCTGGAAGTTCATTTGTGTTTAAAGATGATCCAAGTATACAATTGATTGCCCGAGCTCACAAGATGAGTAAGAGCAGGGGAAATGTCATAAATCCAGATGATGTTGTTTTAGAGTACGGTGCGGATTCTCTTCGCTTGTATGAAATGTTTATGGGGCCATTGAGGTAGCTTCCACTTTCTTCAGTTTGCACACTGTCCTCAATATTTTCTTTTGTTTTTTCATGGTCAATTTGCTAAATGTAAAGGTGAATTTGGCTGAACTTGGTGATTTAATAAAATTAATTAAAAAATAACAACAACCAAGCCTTATCTCACTAGGTGGGGTCGGCAATATGGATCAAACGACGCCATTGCGCCGCCCTATCAAGTTCCATATCAAAATAAATTAAAATACGGAGTATATTTTATTACTAGAATAATTATGTCTATACTTGAAAATAAGTCTACAAACTTATCATTTTCATTCATTTGAGGAACTTCAAGAAAAAAAGTACTTCATACACTCCTTTAAAAATCAAATAAACTAGTGTTTGGTAATATTTTTGGCTGATTATAAAAAAATTGGTACAGGACGGGTACTTAATTAGTAGAGAAATTTTGTAGTTATTTAGAATTACTTTGCCATCTTTTCTGCTAAAATTTAATGATCTAGCTTTATTTCTGTGTAATAGAGAGTCAAAACAGTGGAGTACAAGTGGCATTGAAGGTGTTCATCGTTTTCTAGCAAGAGTTTGGAGATTGATAATCGGCCCACCTTTACCCAATGGTACATTTCAGGATGGAACTGCAACTGTCAATGAGAAGCCCACAATAGATCAGTACCGTTGTCTCCATCGCACCATTGAAAAGGTTATTAAGTATTCTAGTTATGAATTATGCTTTTTCCTATAGCTTCGTATATTAATTTCTTTAAACAAGAAATTTCCCTTCAAGTGACCAGTTTGGTAAGATTGGGTATTTTGGTAGGTAACAGAAGAAATTGAAGGAACACGGTTCAACACCGGAATTTCTGCAATGATGGAGTTCATTAACATTGCATATAAGGTTTTGACTGCCTTCCTATTTGCCATTAACACCTATATGAAGAAGCATCTTATTAAATTTTTTGTCAATTTCAGTGGGACAGACTCCCATTGTCAGTAATTGAACCATTTGTTCTGCTTCTTTCACCATATGCGCCTCACATGTCTGAGGAGCTCTGGTGTCGCCTGGGACACACCGAATCTTTGGCATATGAACCTTTCCCTAAGGTATTATCTTCTCTCCATTAAGATTGGGCTCCTCAAAAAAGCCATTATTTTGCGGGTATATGTTAAGCCATATCAAAATATAGTCCCTTTGTCTCCAAATCAGCTCGGCACTTTGACTTAACATAATTTAAGAGAAGTGTTTAAAATTAAAACTAAAGGTTTCTGGTCAAAAATGAAAATTGTGGTTGATATTTACTTGGAAGAGAGAAAAAAAGTTGTTCTCACATTTATTTCCCAAAAAGGAAAAGTGGAAAAGAGTAAAATTAATTTTTATGCATCCAAAAATAGTGTATAGTCGGTTTGGAGACGGATGGAGAAAAAAAACAAACCAATACAATACAAATCAATATACAAGACATTGTCTATGCCAACCTTGTAAGATAGAACATTGTTCTTGAAACCCCATCAAATCTTTCTCTAATTCTCCTTAATCTCTGCCTCCTTGTGTTTGGTTCCTTAGGTTGATCCTGCTTACTTGAAGGACACCACATTGGTTCTCGCGGTCCAAATCAATGGAAAGACGAGGGGGACCATAGTGGTCGAAGAATGGTGCTCCGAAGAAGATGCTTTCAGGTTAGCTTCACTTGACTTCAAGTTGTCCAGGTTTCTTGATGGGATTACTGTTAGAAAAAGGATTTATGTTCCTGGTAAAGTCTTGAATGTTGTTGTAGAGCCCCCCAAGAAGGCGAATAAGGTCGGGCAATAGTTCGACCATTTTATATCTTCAACATTTTTTTGCCACTCCCTTTAGAAGGTAATCTTTGAATCTGATGGGGCAACATTTTAAAATATTGACAGTACTTGTTACAATGTCTAGGAATGGTCTTGCCCCCACAAGAATTGACACAGTAAAACTAGTTTTATTTAAGAAATTACATTCCTAAATTAGTTTGTTTATCTTATCTATCTGATCAATCAGTTTTTTGCCTATTAATTGCATCAGTTGGATTGTGGTGATAAAAGAAAAAAAAAGTTCAGGATTTACTCCTGTCACTCCTATTTTCATTTTTATTTATACCCGTGTCCTGTCAATTATGAAAATTTATTTCAAATGATATTAAACTTGGACCGGCTAAAAACGAGAAAATTTTTGGGGTTTTCTCGAGTTTTGGAGGGTTTGGTGCCCATTTCCCGATTTGACCGGTATGGGTGGTTGGTCTGGTCTGGATTTGATAATACTTGTGTCTATTTCGGGATGGAGGAGTATTATTTATTTATTTTTTTAGTTTAAGTGAGGATAAACCGTGTATATTTTGGCCAAAACTAAGCCTTATTTCCTTAATGGACTTCTTTGAGTAAGTCAAAGACAAGTTTTCAATCCTTAAAAAAACTACACAAGTAAAAGAAATATTTTCATGGGATGGTAAAAAAAACTTACGCACTCCACAAAATTTCATGCGGCTGGAATATAAATAATTTAATTGGTCTAAATGAGTGACAAAAAAAATTCATGTGCAATTTTTCCCCCCTCACCAATGGAATACTTTTCATCCTAAAAATTTGTTAGTAGTTTGATAAGTTTCTCACCATTGGGAGGGTTCTAAAAACGACTATCTTCACATTTATTCAAGCTCTTCCCACATTTTTTAAAAAAATTTTAATCACAATTTTAGTGATGCTAGAAAAAATTGTACTAAATTTGTCTACTACTCCCTCCGTCCAGTACTTGTCCATTTTTTACTTTTTTTGGTCAAAATTGGTAAACTTTGACCTTAAATTAAATAAAAATGATATTAGATATTGATACAAAAATAGTTTTATTTGATTTATTATGTCAAATATTTTCAAAATATTATTTTATCTAATTAAAAATAATATATATTTTATTTAATTAGAGGTCAAATATTAAAAACAGTTTACCGGAAAAAGTCAAAACTAGACAAATATTTAGAGACGGAGATAGTAGGTGATATCAACCGAAATTTGTACTAGTAATGGAGATCATAATTGATTCGTGTTCACGTAGCGGTAGTTATCAGAACTCATATTTAATGCGTTCATCGAAAGGATCTTTACATTATCTGAAATACTATGTCAATAAAAAATTCAAAGAAATGGCCAAATATGTGCATTTACAACCCAAAACACGTTTGGTTGGGCTGAACGAAGCAATAGACGACATTGTTAGTGAGGGTTCCAAATTGTGTTATATAAAATGTTCATGCAATTTTTAATTTGATTCAACTGCAAATGATGTATCATGATGCATACTCTTATATGATCAACAAACGTTTCAAATATGACGTGTACTAACTTTATTTTTTGGCGGATTTGACATTAATTTCATGATTTAAATCAACGTGAAATCGATCACTATTATAATATCAATGTCAGGGATACATCAGATTATGCCCAGATTGTACCTTATTATTTTTATAATTGCAGATTTTTTAGTCTTTTATTTTTTTATTCACGCAAAAAAATGAGGTGAAGAGGTGACTGGTGTACATCTTAGGGTATACCTTGGTGTATTTCAAGCTTTTTTTGTTAATTTAATTAAGATAAACCTTTTAGGGTTGACAAATCAATTTATCAGGTCAGATTCAGGTTTAGATTACATCGAGTTTGATATCTAAGTCATGTTCGAGACTATTCTGGCGGCACAAAAATCAGCATATGATCGCAGGAAAGCTTCGACTGAAATCTCTCGAATGATACAAAGCACATCAACTCAACATCACACATAAGTGAAATGAAGCTAGAAAAAGTATTAGGAACACAATTCAAATGGCACACATGCTGAGAATCAACTCAAAACACACACTCAAAAGTGTCACCATGAGCTCCAAGAGGTCTAAACATCACATTTTTGGCTTAAGCCAAATTAGGAATGACAACGGATCGAGTTAGATTCAAGTGAAATTTCACTCTCATCCATTCACACACTCTCTATGTAACGGATAAAACAAGTGCAAAACGGGTAAAACTATTATTAACTGTTTAAATTACTAATATCATTTTATTATAATGATATAAAGAACAAAATAGTGATAATAAAAAAATATTTTTTTACAATAAAAGTACTTCAAATTTTCATAAGGCGATAAATAAAACTAGGAGTTCAATAAAATTTTCATTAGCTAATTAACTTCATCTTTAATATTCTCCCTATTCCTAAATGAATTACACTATCTCTTTAACTTGTAAAATCCTGTAACTTTTAAAATAATTTTATTTAAAAATTGATATAGAAATAAAAAATAAATATTATGAATTTAAAAAATATATATCGAAAGTTTTATAAAACAAGAAGTCACAAGAATATTTTATTTTATCAAATGGTCAATAATGAAAATATGAAACAACAAAAGTTATCTAGATACCGTAATAAAAAAATAAATCATTTTAGGACGAAAGAAGTATATAAAAGAGGATTACTAAATTGAGAAATTGGGCGTCGTCCAGAAGGTGTATTAAGGGCTTGTTCTCTTCACCTGATCTAAACGGTTCTCATCTGATTAGAATATGTTCTAATGTAATTTGATCTAATCTGATATAATTGTAATTATATATAAAGTTGTTTTCAATCTGATCTGGTTCTGAACTAGTGTAATCTGATTTAATTCCCGTTAGGATAAATAATACTCCCACGTCCCAAAAACTCCTTATTGTTTTGACTTTTTAGTGGAAAAAGTATATTTCATTATGATGTAAATTTAATATAATTAGGTTCATGTTAAAATATGGTTTTAATATATCAAATTTATTTAATATTTTTTTATTTAAATTATATTTAATTTATAGTGAAAGGATGTCACTATTTAACTAAAAAGAATCAAAATAGAATTTACTAATAAGAATAAGTTGAACAGAATAAACTAATAAGACAGAGGAAGTTACTAATAAGAATAAGTTGAACAGAATAAACTCTCCAACTAGATGACTATGGAATATTGGACAAATTCCTTAACTCAAAGGACATACGCTTAGTTTTTTCAGATAAAGTATGAGTATTTCTTTCATAATATTCCGCATCAGGTTTGAACATGTAGCTTCCCATTTGAGATAGTTACAATTATACAGCTCGACCACAAAGTGTTGGGTGATTTCCCTGCATGTGTAGATTAGTTGTTTTGTGTTCCATTATATGTAACTTTAATGTATTGTTTCCCAAATAAAGCAAAGCGGAGTAGCTGACTCCGTTTGAGCTGCAAAATTTACCATAAACGGAGTAGCGTACTCCGTTCCGATTATTTAATTAGCAAAACGGAGTAGCCAACTCCGTTCCAATTATTTAATTAGGAAACGGAGTAGCCAACTCCGTTCACCCATTTTTTTAAATTTTTTTTTTAAATCAATTATTTAATTTATTTCTTATATTTGAAAAACAAAAAAAATTATAAAAATCAACAAATTATTTACATATAATGAAACAAACAATCTACTAACAATAAAATTCATAAAGAAAATAAATATTTATTGACTTTTTAAATAATGCACCATACACCGAATTACAAATAAGAAGTAAATCACAACAAATTTATTGATAGAGTACATAAAATTTATCCTTAAAATTAAGGATACAAAACACATGCCATAACTAATTTATTTTGTGAAAATCATAAAACATAAACTTGGACATTTGAAATCCCGGATGTACATCCATTTGCTTCAAAGATTACAACATAAGAATATATTCAATTAATAAAAACATAAGAAGACAATTAGACAACAACAACAACAACAACAATTATAATCCAAAATAAATCATAAAGTAACCACTTATACATGCAATCTATGTCTAAATAATTATTTTACAATAACAAATTTATAAATTTAAACAATATATTTGTTAATATTTCGACACAATTCAAAATAATTACCTACGCACAGAACAAATTTAACCAAAAAAAATACCTACGCACGAAACGGAGTAGCTTACTCCGGTTAGGGCTCTTCGTCGGCCGGCGTTCCTCTTCGGCGTAGGCGTCCTGCGTTTTCTCCTCTCTCCGCGGCGCTCTTCGGTTTCCCAATTCGTTTTTTTCTTTTTTGGATCAGGCATCGAGTTGATGGGGTGGATGGGAGATGGATAGACTTCCGAAATTGAAGAGAAACGGAGTTGGCTACTCCGTCTCTCACTTTTTAAATAGAAACGGAGTAGGCTACTCTGATCTGTCTCGGAAATAAATCCACAGTGAACGGAGTAGCTGAGTCCGTTTGGGTTCCTTTTTCAAACTAAAACGAAGTAGGCAACTCCGAGATGCACTGCCAGGAAAAAAATTCCTGACTTACCCTGTCAGGAATGCTTTAATTTTTTTTACATATATTGGGAGTTTACTCCAAAGTGTTTGGATAGAGCATATTTTTAACAAATACGAACAGGTCGGGTGATGGATGAAAAAAATCTTCACCCTCATCTGATACGATCCATCCATCATTCGTATATCATTTACTACGTCTAATGTTTTGGATTTTTGGCCATTAGAATGGGGTGGATTCAGGTAGAAATATACATCTTTACTCTAAATTTATAACGGAAGGGTTCCCACGATATTGGAACCACATGTCATGGCATAACTCAAGGGTGTTATGGTGTTCCGTTCATAAAATTGACGATTCCTACCCGTAACCCCTAGTATACCCCCACATCCCGCCCCGACCAGAACAACCCCTATCCCCTTCAATTGTAGCTCTCAAGTTAATTTTATCTTTGAAATATTTTGGACAGGAGTATTTTTATTTTTTATTGAATTTTTTTTACAATTTCTAATCTTAAATTTGACAAAAACATTACTCCATGAAAAATTTTACTCCTTATTTCCCAGGCGAGCCGAAGGAAAATGAGGAAGGATACGACGCCGCAGACATATAATCAATATAGCCTTCGCAATCGCCGGAAGCAGAAAGATTGCACGGCGCACACATTTCTCCCTTCTCCTCTCTCCATAAACCTCTGTATATATATAAACTGGCCCAGACCCAATCCTCAATGTCCGCAATTTGAATTACTGGAAGAAGAAGAGGAGGAGGGGGAGGAGCTTCTGGAAGTATGGCGAAGAAGGCGCCGGCAATGGCGTCGCCACCCTTATCGGCGCGCCATCTTATGAGGTCCGGATGGAAGCTGGCGATCGCCGTCTCTTTGGCGCTCTGTGTCTTTGTGTTCCTCCGGATACATCTCTTCTTTCTCTCGGATTCCGACGGCCTAATCCCTGCCTCCGAAGCATCGCTTTCATTCCCTCGCAAGCCAAACAGATCTCTCGCCGACAATTTCTCCGGCAATCCGAAGGTCGCTTTCCTTTTTCTAGCTCGGAGCAATTTGCCGCTCGATTTTGTTTGGAGAAGCTTCTTTCAGGTCTGCCGATTGATTTCAATTTTGCTAGTAATTGGAGTAACAATTGTAACGATTGGGGGAATCTGTTGCTTGCCCTTGTTTTGATATTTGGGAAAGTTGGGCATAGAAAGCTGATTGATTTTCTTGATGTCTGCAGGATATTGATCCTGCCAATTTCTCTATATACATACACTCCAAGCCAGGCTTTGTATTTCATCAGTCTACTACAACTTCCCCTTTCTTTTATAACCGGCAGCTGAAAAACAGCATTATGGTAATTTGTTGATGTTATGTAATGTTTATCTGATATTAGATTCAACTCCTCGGCTCGTTTTGAACTTGCAATTGTTTTTTGAAATAACTTGAAATACTTACCCGTTCGTTCTCAACCTTAGATGCAAGTGTTTGAGTTATAAAGATTTGAAGAATTCTGATCCACATTTACGCTGTCTCACTGTGTGATAAAAATGTGTTCTTGGACTAATCTTGTGGGAATGTGTAGGTAGCTTGGGGAGAATCAAGCATGATTGAAGCCGAGAGGTTATTACTTGAGGAAGCTCTAGAAGATCCAGCCAATCAAAGATTTGTTCTCTTGTCAGACAGGTTGGCGCTTCTCTATTAAAAACATTGGATTGAAAGTCCTTAACAAAAGAAGAAAAATTTGAAAATATGATCTAAAAAAAGATGTGCTTGCATTTTGTGAGTTTCTATATATTTCCTTCAATAACCCATGAATTTGAACATGAAGCATGAATCAAATGCTTAATGCAGAACATCACTCGTTAGGATACGAACCATAAGTTGAAAGTATTTGTTGCATTCCTGGATCTATCAATTTGAATGTGCAATGTTTCTGGCATTCATTTTGAGTTTTGACTTACCATGTCCCGTGCTTGACTTTCCCACCATCCCATAGAATCTCAAGGAAACAAGCTATTATCAATAGATTCGCTATTTTATTTCTATAAAAGTTATTTCTAAGTAAAAAGCTTTCATTTAACATATATGGACAAAAAAAGCTATGTGATGTCTTATACTCCGTATAATCTATCAACTTAGAACTTCCACATCTTTAGTTTTCCCATGGCATTTTATTATTACTCTCTCCGTCCAAAAAAGAAGAAGAAGACTTGTTTGTAATACTTATAACTTACAAAAAAGTTTGGCCATATTTTTATTTTGTATTTGTTGCCCGCTTTACCATCTTTCAATCATTTGAAGTAAGATAAATCACCTGAAGTTATTGCGCTTCATACTCGCAGCTGTGTCCCTTTATACAACTTCAGCTATGTATACAAATATTTGATGGACTCTCCGAGGAGTTTCGTGGACAGGTAAAAACTGGATGAAATTTCATGTCACAACCCACAAAAAACTTGTGCATTATTGGTTGGTAATTTATTCAAGTCTTGTGTTTCTGTCTTAGTTTTTTGGATGTAAATGGAAAAGAAAGCCGCTATAACCCAAAGATGAAGCCATATATACCAAAGACCAAATGGAGGAAAGGATCACAAGTAAAGTTCCTAAAGCATCAGTAATGTATATCATTAAATGTAGGATAGTTTGCAGTAGGCATACCGAACCATTTTAATGTGCTGTCTTCTATTCCAGTGGATCGCATTGGTTCGAGAACATGCTGAAATAGTTGCAGATGATGAAGTTGTATTACCAGTTTTCAGGAAGTATTGTAAGGTCCATGATGCGTAGACTGTTTATCTGAGATTCTGAAGTGACGATTTCTGATTTCAATGTGGATTAACGTGCTTGATATTGTCTTTATTGCTGACGTTATAACTTTTTCACCCTTTAGAGGCGCCCACCAATAGATGCCAGTCTGAAGAGTCGGAATCTTGTAAGTCAATTTTTTTATCTACTCTGTCCAAGTGATGGTTTTATTGCTATGATATTTTCTTTTCTCCCATCAGACATTTTAATCAAAGAAACACTGCTAAAGTTTTTAGTTTGATTGTTTCCTAACTTAAGAGTACATCTTGCAGATCCTTCAAAAGCAGCACAACTGTATCCCTGATGAACACTATGTGCAGACATTACTTGAAGTGAGCAACAACATTGATTTATCAATATCTATTTCTAAAGTTTGTATTTTATGCTCCCTTTGTCCCAGAAAAAAAAGTTTCTTGTTTGTGATACTGAATTCAGTACTACATACAAACATGACTCTTTGTGAAGAAGTTTTTGTTTATAATGTCGTCAAGTATTGTGATGGAAAGGCAATGTTTGTTTTGATTTGGTGTTAATCCATATAGGCGTATATATTCCCCAAAAGCTACACACACACTCAATAGAGTTCATTGTCATCTTTTTTTGTGCATAGATGCACGGAGTTGGAGCCGATCTGGAGCGGAGAACAATAACTTACACAGTATGGAACCAATCATCATCAACTATGGAAAAGGGGGCCTGGCATCCTAAAAGATTTACTTATGCAGATGCAGAGCCTGAAAAAATTAATAAAATAAAGGTTGTGAACTACTTTTGTCCCTAAAAGAATCAAATCTTTGCAATTATTTTTTTTATTGCACAAATTTATAGTGCTAACGAATTTTTGTAACAGGACATCAGATATGTTTACTTCAAGACTGAGGCCCGAACAGAGTGGTGCAGTAACAATTCAAAACGCGTCCCCTGCTTTCTATTTGCAAGGAAATTTTCTCGGGCAGCAGGGATGCGCCTTTTGAGTGAAGTGGGTGGTCCGTTTGATGGGTCCACTTCCAAGGGCCCACCACCATGATTTTTCATCACGATCGCATCCGCTGCTTATATACACACGCTTCCATGTGCATTCATTGAGATGCCCACAACTTGTGCTCAATTCGCTAACATACACAACATGATGAGGACATTGTTGATTGACTTACACTAGACATGTTAGAAGCAAATCTTGACTCACATTGTATTATTTATATAGAATCAAGGTTACAAGCTCTAGCCTACTATAGCATAGTTGCAATAAAAATTTCCATTCCAGTCAACTGTAACATTCAAGATTTATAAGAAGAAAAATGGGTAAAATGTTTTGTGTAAGTCTTCCATTCTAGTTTTGAGTGTTTTAACAAACCCCTGTGATTGATTACAGGTTCAAGCAAATGAATCAGAAGGCAGCCATGGTTGCTGCTTCGTGATCATCACCTTGAAGAGCCGTTTGGACGCTTTGAAGGTTAGTTATCAAAGATTTTATCTTTCCAGCCTTGATGGCGAGCCCTAAGCTCCCACATCGAGCTAACCCCTCGCTGCGCCTCCAGAGCCGCTTCGGCTTTCTCCCTCGCCTCCTCGCAGGTTTCCATTCCAGAAGTGCACTTTTCTGCCTCTTTCTGGTACTGAGAAGTCAACTTCTTTGTCTCCAACAGTTTCTGGTCTGCTTTCTGTTGTATCCCTTGAATTTCCCCTTCTCTTGCCTCCAGTTCCTTTACCAGTTGTCTGGTTTTGGTTAGGTTTTTCTCCCCCACCCCTGGGTGATGCTCCATGCAACCTGCCAAAAAAGCAAGAAAATTACTTAAGGGGGTTTCTAGTGGAGAGTGAGATTGACAATAACCATAAAAATAATATTTGGCCAACAAGATATTTGCATTTTGAGTGGGGTTGAATTTTTTGATTGACTTACAATTATCAATATATGATAAGCATAAATGCATAATGTATGTTTTAAAAAGCTTAGGACCTTGAAAAATCTGTGACCCTAGTCCCCTATTTCACCTAGGCCTACTTACAGCTCAAACTAAGGTTCATCAACTCCCGCAATTAGGTAACCTCGTGTTTTGTTACTCTTTTTGTCTCGAAATTATCCTCATGTTTTAGTTTAAACGGTGGGGTTCTAGTGACACCGGAAAACGGTGCTACTAGCGGTGCCACTGCGTTTTTGGGGCACCTCCGGTGCTCCGTTCGTAAAATTGACGGTTCCATTGTTTCAGTTAAATTGCATGTTTGATTTTTTTAATTCAAAATTTATGAACTTTGACTGAATTTTGTAGGTAACATATGTTTAATTTTAAGGCAAATTTAATATGATTAAGGTTACTTTGAAATTTTTGAAATACTCTATATCATAGTTTTATACTCCCTCCGTCCCATTTTATAACGTCTGTTTCGGTTTACGATGTTTGACTGAAATTATTTTCAAATCATTTTATATGACAAATGGTATGTAGTTAAAAATTAAAAATTACATATGAAAATACTACATCAAAAGATCTACAAATGGAGTGAATCTAGCATTTCTCGGTTCTTTCCCTCAAATGACTCCAATTTGTAGGGGATAAGATTCGAAGGAAATGGAGGGATTCCCTTCCTCCTTTGGTTTCCCTCCCCCACCCACACCTACTAACAGAAGAGGAGCTCCATCCCTCCATTATTCATGTGTATAAACTATAAACTCAGGCTCTCTTTGGTACAGAGTTCTAGAATTAGTCATTTATATAAACTAACAAGTACTATTTTCGTCTCAGTGTATTTGTTCAGTTTGACTTTTTTGAGTCAAATTGAACAAATTTTGAACTCCAATTATTTTTAATATATATGGCATATTAAGATAATGAAATACAATTTTGAAAGTTCTCAATACGATAAATCCAATAAAGTCATTTTTATGTTAAATACGTTACAACTTTTATTTAATTGAAGGTTAAAGTTTGTCCAGTTTAACTCGAAAAACTCAAACTGGACAAATACACTGGGACGAACGAAGTAATAAGCAACTAAGAATCTCTTTTGAGGAAGGGTGGTGGAGAGATCCACATGATAATTTAGACACACCAATGAATTACAGGATAGTTCAAAAGGCTACAGTGATTATTTGGATTGTAACCAGTCATTGCTCTATTCCCATGTCTATAGTGTGAGTCACATGTCAATTAGCTAAGGTCTAAATATTGTTTACATTATTTAGATCATGCTTATTTTATTCACATGTCTATTTTGTGGGATACGAATTTGTCATAATAAAAAAAACAAATGAGCATGTCTTATTTTATTCACATGTCTATTTTATTATTGGGGCCAAATAACACCAGTAATTGACAAAATATGCATCAATACCCTTTCTGTTTTCAAAATTTATTTTAAATAAGCATGTCTAAATAATGTACACCATCAATCATATTTATGGTTAAAATGTAAAGGATATAATTGCTCTATACTCCTAAAAAAATAATATTCAATTGTTTTAATTAACTTGCACGTTTGATTTTTTTTAACCCAAAATTTACGAACTTTGATTGTATATTTTAGGTAATGTGTAAGTCAGTATATTTAATTTTAACACAAATTTAATATGATTAAGGTTACTTTGAAATATTTGAAATTCTCCGTATCATATTTTTATAATATTTAACAATATAATACCTCCGTCCTAATGTATTCATTTAGTTTTGATTTTTTTCGAGTCAAACTGAATAAACTTTAATATTTTTGTGAATTTTTTGAAATTTGTTTTGTTATATTAGTATATAATATAAATGTACTTTTCATGTTTTGATTTTTTTGTCAAACACTGACACTCTTTGTTTCTTTAATAACAAAATAAACATAATCTAAATAAGTAAATGCCATAAAATTTGATATATCAAAACTATATCCAATAATTATAATTAAATATATTTTTCTTCACAATTAGTGATAATAAAAAATGTCACTATTTAACTAAAAAAAACCAGAACAGAAAAGATTGTTAGGAGGGTGGGAAATGTAGAATACCAATTGGGAGGGAAAGGAGAGGTTGAAGAGGACAACGACAGATGCAAGGAGGGCAATGAGAGAATGCGTCGGTGAGGAGCCAATACAGAGGCTGTCCGACGATCACGTAGCCTGCCCCAATTACGCACACGACGCCCATCACCGCCGTCGCCACCGTCTTCTTCGCCGTGCCGCCCCCGCCCCAGCCGCCGTTGTTTCTCGCATGCTTATGCTGTGACGCCGACGCCGACGACTTCATCTCGATCGGTCGATATATGTATATGTATATATAAATGCGATCTTTAATTAATTAATTACTTAATTAATTAATTTCTCTGCGGATCCTTTTTGATTGATCGATTTCTTGGGGGGTTTTAATTTGGTGGGATATGAATTTGTCATAATAATAATAAATAAATAAATAAAAAAACAAATGACTCTAAACTCTAGCCGATACTTCGCCATTCTCTTTTACCTTTTCTTTTCTGAATATATTCTTTTATTATTGCAACTATCTGTTCTCCTCTTCATTTTTTCCCTTCTTCTTTAGGGCGTGTTTGTTTATATCATAGGGAGCAAGAATGCATGGGAAGAGGTTATTTAATTTTTGACGATTTTGTACACAATATTTCAATTTAGCATATGAAATTTTAGTCTTAAATATGGAGCACGTAGGCATGCATGATTTTAGGAGAACCAATATGTTTCTTCACAAGATACAATTTGATGATGATGAGAATTAGGAATCAATAAGATGGTGAAGGACTCTGGCCATAGAGGATGAACCCCAGGGTAGATCAGGCCGGACAGTCACTAGAAGAAAGTAAATTGGATCTTAATTAATCGTAAATTGATGATAAAGAGTGGAGCCTGCAGGTACTTGTAGAGGCCTTATACTAACTCCGGCCATAGAGGAGTTCAATAGGTGCATTTGCGGCATAAGGTCCAAAATCATAGAAGGCCAATTTTTTAGGCTATATTTTATTTGTTATGCAACAAAATTTACGTTTTGAATCTTAAAATTTAAAAACATTGTTAAATAGTGTTAAATGTTTTAAAATCAAAAAGAGGTTTTCCATATTTAGTCTGTGGTTATCAAATATTATATTTGTGGTCCTTTTATGAGTACCTTTCCATATCTAGTCTTGTTTTCAACTTCTGTCATGTTGATGTTAAATTGATGGTTAAAAGTACAATTTTAAAATGATTACATATTTTTCTTGTCATAGTCAATGTAATAGCTCGCTACTGAGGTGTCACTTGTCAACTAGAGTCTTGCATAGTCCACTGCATTCATAGTTTAGAGATGTCGTCTCTAGTTAGAATCATTTGATACAATCATAGTCATTATTATTGTCTTGTCTATCAAACAAACATCAAAATGTGTCAATGGACAATGTGAAACTACATCTTTAGTCTTCAATTTAACACTAATATGATAGAAAATTAAAAAAGGTTAAATACAAAAAAGATACTTATAAAAGAAGAACCACAGACGTAATATTTAATAATAGAAGACTAAATATGAAAAAATTTGTGTTAAGAGCATGAGCAACAAGCGAGGCAGATGCCTCGCGAGGCTTCTACGTAAGTGTATCATGTGTATGAGGCACAAGACATACTTCAAGTCATTTTTTTTAGTTTTTTTTGTAGAAGAAAGAAGCTTTTTTTAAAAAAAATGAGTACATCTATTTAAATAAAAGATAAATAAAATATTTTTTATAATTAAAATACGTCAATAAACCGTAAAAGAGATTAACAAAAATAATAAATTGTCAATATATGACATGTCTTTCTATTCACTTTTCATATTTTGATTAAACCGTTTTTATTAATTGAAATATGTCACGTCAAAGTGTTATGTTTCATTTTTCTCTAGTAGCCATTTTAGTTGCCATTGGTGGTATTGTAAAAAAAGTCCAACCCAGAATCTATTGGGCTTTTGCCTCCATGCGATTCTGCCACTGTGTCTAGTGCCTTCGACTCATCAGACTCTAACCGCCGCAGCCCTTCCACACCGGCAGAGCAGGACACCGCACGCGCCGCCACGCCGGGTAGCCTTCAGGCCTCACTACCCTGGATGCACACGTCCTCTCACTTCTCAGCGACTCCTCGCCTCGCCCCTCTGCTCAGGTCCTTTTTTTTCTTAAGAAATTGAATTTCTTGCTTTTTTGGTCTAAAAGATCAGGTTTATGTGTTATTTATTTTTATCTGTTCTATTTTTCTCTTTTTTTTGTATGAAATGGGGTTATTTATTTTATTGATTGGAGTAGATTTTCTTTGCCAAAAAAGATATAAATGGATTACGGAGTATTATGTTTTTTAATTTTTGGTTAAAAATTTACTAAAATACGGATTATTCTTTTTTAATGGTTATCTTTTCTTTGCCTAAAAAGATGCATTTGTTATAGAATGCTTTAATGGTTAATTGTCTCCTTCTTGGAATTGTTGTAATGATTTGTTCTTTGATTTCGTTAAATTGACCTAGGCATTGCAGTGAAGGTGCTCGATGAAATTCTCAGGAACAAATTCTTCATTCCCAATTCTCATTCAAATCTGATAGAATTCGGTTTCCTTCTGCTTGTTGAAGAATGAATGGGATTCGTAGAACGGTGCACGGGTTTTGGAGACAAGTGCACACAAAATCACGGGAAGGTCCAAGCGAGACCTTGAAGAAAAGGGTCGCAGAACTTGAAAGAAAGAGGAAAGACAAGAATTATCGGAAGAACGAAACATTTGTGGAGGTGAGGGAATCATTGGCATGGCTAGACACCCCCACCATGCCAATGATACTCACCGTTGTTGGGACTGCACTTATAGCAAAGCTCATGATGATGGTATGTCTGAAAATCCAAATGGGAGGGGATTTTTTCTAGAAAAATCTTTCTTTTTTTTTGCTGTTTTTTTGTTTCTTTCTGTGTTTGTGTAGCCTAAATGAACCCTAAAAATCCCAATAGTTATGAGTGCTCATAAGAATCTTATTTCTAGTTATGTCTTACTCTATAGCTTGTGTGTTCTACTGTTCTCTTTGAGTTTTTAGTTTGTGTGTGTTTGCTTCTTTTGCCTGCACTCTTAT